TCGGCCCAGCTGTCTGATCACGTGTCATGTACATCACTGCCGGCACTGGATTGCAGTATGCTGATTGGGTGGCGGTTGCGAATCACCTGGCTCAAACGCACTTGCGCCGCGACTGGTTATAGCTGCCCATACCGCGCGTCAAAACAAGCTTATAGCTGCCTGTTATGTCGTCGCACCGCCCACACGCACTCAGCGAAGACGGCACCGCGTTCGGTGCTGTATTAGTGGTCAGCAACACGTCTAGGGAGCGACTGCCCGTCCTCCCCGCCCGCCCGGCCGGCCAGTCCCGGCCCGCCGACCGGTCACCGCCGGAGGCGCCGAGCGGCACAGGTACGGTATCTGACAATAGCGGCAGAGACTGTACACTAGGGTATATTAGAAGAATTCAAGGGAGGTATTTAGAGAATGAGGGTATAGTTTGGGTATGTTCGAAGAAAATGATCAGGGTGTTGTTTTAGACCAAAACCCATGATATGCTTAAAAGGAATCATTTGAGGTATCATTTGAGTATCTTAAGGGCATTCCGCCAGGAGAACGGCAGAGTTATAGGAGCATGACACACCATGATCAAAGGGAATAGAGAATCGTTTTGGTTGTCAGTGTTCGGTGTTATAGCGCATTCCCTAGATGACCCGTGAACGGTGAAACATTTCATCTTTGACCTGACCTGTGACGTCATCGGTGACCCCGAGGTCAATGAAATTTGGTTTCCTTCGACAAATTTGACAGGCCTTTCGAACGCCGTTTGAATTTCGCGGATCCGTCCAGTAGTTTCGGAGATACGAGGGGGGCAAAAAATAGCCCCCCCCCCCACCAGGTCGCGTTATAAACAGACCCCGGCGCGGGTTAAGGTTTTAAGTGTTGAAGATGCGATCGACTTGTTGGTTCTCAAGCCGGCCATGATCGTGTAAAATGGCTTCATCGTAGATCGATTAGTTTCTGAGATATAACCGGAAATGTAAAAGTGCAAAACCTACCGCTTAATCTCGCTAGAGCCGTACATATGTACTGTAGACGCCAGATTTGCGTGCCTGTAACACCACAATGCCTTTGAGGTCATGCTAGGTGAGGTCAGGGAATGTGAGAGACACATTCACCAGAAAGTTTGAACAATGACTTTTGAGAGACACATTCAGCGGACTAAACATTACCTTGCATCGACTTGCCTTAACACTGCCAACCGACTAATAACATTCAGCAGGATTTCTCCCGGTCAGATAATATTGACCGACACTCTAAAAAATGCCACGCAGGGCGAAATTCTGAAAGACCTCATAGCGAGCTATATCTTTTGCCTCTTCCATGTCTATTACCTATTATTACTTTTTTAGATAATTGGGTACGAGCCAAATAGCATCCTTCCCCACGATGACGTATGACGTACCTTTCAAATAGCGCTTACATACATACTGTCGGGTGGGAGAGGTGGGGGAGGGTGTGTGTGTGTGCAGCTAGACAGCCTCAGTGGCGGATCCAGGATTTCGTCAAGGAGGGGGGGGGGGGGGGGGCATACGGCATTGTGGTGCCCCCTGGCATTTGGTGCCCCCCCCCCCCCAAAAAAAAACATACACGGATTTCGGCCACTTACGTTCCGGGATGGTGCCCCCTCAGGCCCGGGTAGAGTGCTCCTTCAGACTTCGGATTTCGGAATGGTGCTCCTGGAAACTTGGAATGGTGCCCCCGGAGACTTCGTGATGGTGCCCCTCTGCCCACAGACCTCGGAATGGTGCCCCCAGACCTCGCGATGGTGCCACCGGAGACCCCGGGATGGTGCCCCCGGACCCTCGAGATGGTGCCCTCTCCGACCTTGGGATGGTGCCCACGGAGAACTCGGGATAGTGCCCCCGGAGAACTTGAGATGGTGCCCCCGCGGACCTCGGGATGGAAATAGCCCCACCCGATGCAAGGGACAGAAATGGGTCTCCAGGAGACCCCAAAAACGGTACCCTATTCCGATAGATCTTCTGGATGGTGCCCCCTTAGGAGACCTCTGGGTTGAAGCTCCCGTCGGTGACCTCCGTGATGAATAAAAAACTCCATGATGGTGCCCCCCCCCGGAGGCCCAAGGGGGGGGGGGGCATGGCCCCCCATAACCCCCTCTGGATCCGCCACTGGACAGCCTCAGTGAACACCGACTGCCCCCGCCCCCTTTCGGCCGCACCACGCCACCGCCTCCATGTGATGCATACAGTAGCGGCGGAACACCTTCTGCGGGGGGGGGGGGGCACTGCCGACTTTCTGTCCTATCCCTCGCCGGCCGAGGGGGGGGGGGCGGGTGCCGCCCCCCATAGGGTTTTTTTAGCGATAGCTCCGAACACGCTGGCGATAGAGAGCCGAAACTTGGCATACCTGACCTTTGATCCAAGCCGGATCTTTTGACACCAACCGCGTTTTTAGGTCAGGTCAGGTCACTGACCTATGACGTCATAAGTGAACCTCTGCACGGTCTTCAGATGTCGCAACTTCGCAACGCCCTCACTGCCAGAGGAGATGTCACAGGGAAATGAAACTTGCAGGATCTAGTATCCATTATGAGTCCCACAACTTGTATATCTCGGATTTTTCCTAAAGGTCATATGAGGTCAGGTCATTTTCGTGACCTCACCATTATAAGTCAATGGGGAAAAATGAAAACTGCTATTCTGGCGCTGGGAACGATCTCCAACTATCTCAAGCACACAGAATCGTGATTTGATGCACTCCTTGCAAGGTTAGATGCGTAACTTTTGCAATGTTGACCTTGCGTGACGTCATTTATGACGTCATCAAGGTCATATTAGTTTTTCGTCAATAACTCTTCATCAAATTGAGCTAGCGAGTCGGGAAAGCCACCAATGGACTCAGGAAGGCCTGCCGAATCGAATGATATGCAACATGACCTCTTTCGACCAACTTCGTGACCTGGGGGTGCTGACCTGACCTTGACCTGAGGTCAACACCCCAAGTTGACCTGACCCGGACCAAAAGTATACCATTCGACGCGCCTGAACGAGGCGAACACGATGCTGCCAAAATCGGCGCTCTGCGGCCGTTTTTTGCGAAGTTATTCACCAAAAACTGAACCGTACCTTGGGGCACTTGACCTGACCTCAGAGGTCACCGGTTGACCTAGGACCTTAAAATCGGGTACCAATCTCTGCGTCTCGTAACGGCGCACACGCTCGTTTTTTCCGCGACGCGCTAGCTCCACCAGGGGCGAAACGGCGAGGGGGGGGGGGTCGAAACCGCCCCCCCCCCCTCGGCCGGCGCGTATGTAGAAAACCAATAGGTCCGGCGAGGGCTATTCTTTCCATGCAACGCCCATAGGGCTAATGTTAACCCGGCAGGCGATGGGCCTACCAGCCACCTTCCGCGCGGTGGGGGGGGGGACATTTTTTTTGCCCCCCCCCCCCGTATCTCCGAAACTACTGGATGGATCCGGAAAATTCAAACGGCGTTCGATAGCCCTGTCAAATTTGTTGAGGGAAACCAAATGTCATTGACCTCGGGGTCACCGATGACGTCACAGGTCAGGTCAAAGATAAAATGTTTCACCGTTCACGGGGCTTCTAGGGAAAGCGCTATAACACCGAGTAAAACGCATTTCGTCGAAAATCAGCGATAAGGCGTCAGTTGTCTAGTACATATGTTGCTATTAGAGGTCACCGGTCATACCAGGTCAGGTCACAGGTCAGGTCACCAAAGGTCACCAAGGGTCACCACATGAGCCCAACTTTACTAAGGTTATGCGATGCATGTTTTATGGCCAGTTTTTCATTTCCAACTCAATGGTGTCGGTTATAAGACCATCAGGTACGGTTAAGGTCACATTCTGGTGGAGGTCAGGTCAAGGTCAGGTCAAAAAAGGTCAAATTTCAAAGTTGATATTTTTGCATAAAATGGGCATCGATTCGATGCAGCTCGTCACGGGGAGTCTAATGGTGGTCTTTGTTTTGCGCTACGAGGTCTAGAATTGCTAAAAATTGAATTTGAAAATTTGACGTCATCAATTTTGAACAGTTTTTTCGCTATAACTTGGCCAAAAAAAGAGGTATCGATCTCAAATTTGGTATGTAGATAGAAGGCGGCAAGGACTATCAGATATATTCCGGTTTTTTCGAAATTAAAAAAACAATTGGATTTTTTGGGGTCAAAATCCAAAAAATTCGAAAAACCGAAATAGCAGTTTTGTAGCCCTTTTGATTCCACACCTTTTATTTTTGAAACATTTTTCTGTATCTCTAAAGCTGTAGGCGTGACAGCTCTTCCCGCGAAACCTTTTTTTGGGTCGAAAATGGCAAAAATGACGTCACTCTGACGTCATTAGCGGCCAACCTATCATAGCCTTTGGAAAAATATTTGGTCACCATGTGCGCTAGCTGCTCCCGGGAGGGTACTGAAAGTATGGTGACGATCGGCGCAGCGGTTCTCGAGATATATTGAAAAAACTAAAGGGGGGCAAAAAAATGCCCCCCCCCCCCGCCTGGAAGGTTAAAATGCCAAAATCAGAGGGGGCATGGTGCCCCGGTGCCCTCCCCGTTCCACCGCCTATGGATGCATAGTATAACACATGGAGGCGGTGGTTCGATTGTAACTCACAATCGGACCATCGCACCACTGCACCGTCCGGGGCGCGGCGCGGTGGTCGGCAGGCGGCAGCCTAGGCCCTGAGTGACCTGTAATAGGTCAGGTCACCATATCAAGTGAGGTTACTATAAGAGTTTTTAGCAATGTCTCTAAGAATGCTGAAACCATACCTGACTTCGTGTTTAAGTGCACTTTTTCGTTTTAATGATAATGCCGGTAAGTTGCGTAAAGAGCGTTTGCGACTTATGTTTATAAATTCGCTCATAGATGGCAGCAGTGACAAACGCCTGAAAGTATGCTGCACCGGAATACACAAAACGTTAGCTGTGATTGGTCAGCTTATCATCAATTGATGACGTATGAAGACCAACAGCAGTGGAAGAGAGATGCAAAATATTTGTAAACCTTGAACACTTGATCGAGCCGTGTGTGTACGTGTGGGACGACGGTGAAAACAGGGCGCCTGGGGCGATTTGATCAAGGTTCGTGAAATTTACACGTGACTCTCGGAATGTAGAAGGCCGAGAAGGCCCACGGAGGGGGAGCAGTTCCAAATATCACGTGACTAAAATGCCCTGCGGCGCCCTGCTTTCACCGGCGTCCTACGTGTGCTGTTTTGTTTGTGTTTTGTGATTGATCAATATTAGGTGGATTCTGTGACAATAAGGTTGTAAATATATCGCTAAGACGCCTCTCAACATACTCACGAAGCAAGCTATCAAAAAGGCCAAGAAGAAATGGGTAAAAAGCAACATCAGAAGGATAAATTGTAAGGATGGAATTTAAATTGATTTGAATCGGAGTAGTTCGTGTAATTTTGGCTCAAGCGCAGGTTTCCTTACAAATAATGCTTCTCATCTTTGTTTTCTTAATCGCATGATAGTTTACACATCATGTTCTATAGTTCTATTGCTCATGATATCATCCTGTTTGATAGCTGCATTCTGCATGCCAGAGGTGGAGATCTCGAGGGGGTCGGGGGGTCAGGACCCCCCTGAAAACGAATTACTGCTATGTAAGTCAATGATACTGCATCCAGCCTGCCTCTATCTGCCCTGCCTGGAACCCCCCCCCCCCCTGACATTTTGACAGATCTCCACCCCTGCTGCATGCCATGCTAGGCTGAGCAAAAACTAGTTTTGGTAAGTGTTGTAATTGATAAATCATTTATCAAGTCATTGATGAAAACTACATTTATTCATCAGTCGGTTGATAATGACATTTCAAATTCCTACCATCCAGCAAAGTATATATGCAGAGGTGAGAGGAGCGATCACACTTTCAATGTAAATGTTATGGCTCTTCCGCAGTTATGCGCAAGGGATGTATCTAGTTACTTATGAATGCCATCACATCATTCAGAGTGCAAAGCATGGCAACACAGTTAAAAAAACACTCCAGTTAGGGTGACAAACCCTGGCAGGTCAGAGGTCCTGAAATGAGCACCAGCCAGCCTGAAAAAGACCTTAAATTTAACCACAAAACTGAGATATTTACACATTCTTAATGTAAAATATCAAAAGGAGGCCAATTATTTCCTTGGACCACTGATCACAATACATCTGGTGCGTTCTGCATGATAGGCACCCTGCTGCTCATGCAGAATGCTAAATTCTGCACCACACCACGCTAAATCTTCTTCTCACCACATGCAGTGAATGAATGCCTCCACAGTTACTCTAATGAGATGTTGTTGAGCCATTAGTCGGGCGTGCCGGTTTTCGCGTGGAGTTTCCACGCTGAGGAATTCCTCACGAAAACAGCCCATTGGCCATCGCAAAATGCGAGGAATCCCGCGGGATTCCGCGAACCGGGCTTGCTTGAACGGCCGTTTCGTCATCTACGCGAAAAACGTCACGTCCGAACGCAGGCGAGATTGCCCAGTTTTTCAGCCTGTCATTGATCACACCGCTCACAGTCTGCAATTTCGTCCACTCCAGGTACCTGACAGCCACCGAGTGGGCCACGCAGTATGGCGGCCACCGTCCGACGCGGCCCGAGGACCGCGAGTTCCGCCGGCTGCCGTTCACCCACTGCGCGCTGTCGCTGCAGCCCTTCGAGAACCCGCTCTGCACCGCCGACGGGCACGTGTTCGACCTGCTGCACGTCGTGCCGTTCGTGCGGAAATACAAGATCGATCCCATCACGGGAAAGGTAGGTGCTGTCCTGTAAAGTCTGGTAGTTAGGTATCGGAGGGGTCGCGGACACTACACTGAGTGCTGTGATATGGCTACGCGTGGGCTAATCGATGTGAAATGTGTATGAATGTGAATCTGACACGTAGGTCTGGCTGATGGAGATAGGTTGGTGGCTTTCAGTGTCACAACTGTTTGTATTATCAGACCCACATTGTCGAATAATCTGAAAGTCATTGAGGTTTCCACAATAACTTCTGAATTATTCATCCTTGCGCTCTCAGCCGCTGGAAGCCAAGGCGCTCATCAAGTTGAATTTCTTCAAGAACAGTGATGGAAAGTACCACTGCCCGGTGCTGTTCAAGGTGTTCACGGAGAACTCCCACATCGTGGCCATCAAGACCACCGGCAACGTCATGTCCTACGAGGTGAGGGCAGCGCGGGGCAAGCCGGCGGGGCCGGGGCTGCTTAGGACGCGTTCTCTGTGCTGAAATTGTACGTGTTTGCGGGAGGCTCGGTGGGGTCTGCACGGTAGGGTATGTAAGCTCAGTTTCGGCATAGCGACATGTAGAGGTCTCTAGTGTGACGCGGCTGCTGACGCCACCTGGTGCAATGATTGACGTATTGTAGTATGGATTGCCGTCTCAAAGGCGCTATTTGACGTTTTGCTATTGGAAAAAAGATAAACTAAAAAGGTTTCTATTCTAACCTTACGCACATAAATTTTGAGGACTATAGAAAGAGTATTCAATATTCATACATAATATAGTTCAGGGAAGGAGCTCACAGTTATTGCCCATATTTAGTGATTTTCGGAAGCAGTACAATGGTACAGTCAAATGATCCAAACGGTACCGTTTTTCGTGTAGTGCTACTAAAATGATGCACCATTGCGCTTGCTCCTAATTTCTGTTGGTGCCCGTTGATCTCAGCAATGCCCGACTGACTGTGTCTCTATCTGACTCGGCAGGCGGTGGAGGAGCTGAACATCAAGCCCCAGAACTGGAAGGAGCTGGTCACAGACGAGCCCTTCACCAGGAAGGACATCATCACCATACAGGACCCCAAGAACCTGCAGAAGTTCAACCTGTCCGCCTTCTACCACATCAAAAACAACATCAAGGTCACCGACGAAGGTGAGGATATTCGCGGGAGCTATGCCGCGTGGCGCGAATTAGCTGGCTTATGTGTTTTGGACGGTGTAATTCTACAATTTGGTCGCGTTTCTGCTACTGCCACCTCCCCATGGTATAATCCAGCTAATTGTGGTATAGCTCAGTCTCCCTCCTTGTGATAAACATAAGTCAAATCCGCCGCTCCCTGAGTCCCTATGATACATCCCTGCCGAGCTGCACCTTCTCTCTCATTTGCCGTAACCGGCCCCTGTTCCGACCCGCAGAGGCGGAGCGCAGTCGACTGGACCCTCAGGCGCGCCTGAAGAAGGTCAACTCGGTGACCAAGGATGTGCTGGAGGAGCTCGATCGCGAGTACAAACCCGCGCAGAAGGAGGTCAAGGAGCAGAAGAAGGCCGACAAGTTCAACGCGGTGAGTTTTGGGTAAGGATCTGGCTGGAGAATGCGTTAGTAGGTAGCTTGGCGTTAAGTATCACGGATTACCTTATGTATTGTATATTCAACTTTAATTGATGTGTGCTTGGTAGTTCTTTGATGTGCCCCCCCCCCCCCATCTATCCATTCCTCAGCATCAGTGGCGCATGTTACTTGCTGTTTTCCCTGAAAGTAATCTTGCCCGCTCACGGCACAGTGGTGCCCTCTGCTATACCGCTCGAACCACTGACACTGTACCGCTGATACCACGTCTGAATGTGTACTGCGTGGGACCACTGACGTTCTCCGTGTGGTCGGCAGGCGCACTTTTCCACGGGTGTGGTGGCGGCCGGGTTCACTTCGACCGTCATGGAGCCCGTGCTGGAGCACGAGGCGGCCGTCGTCGATGACGACACGGTCCGATACAAACACGTCAAAAAGAAAGGTCCGTGGGGCCGGGTGAGGCAGCTCATGGCTGTCACTGGACATGTATAATACTCCTTTAACACGTCATTTGTCTGGGAACCTATACCTGCAGGGTTTTGACGTGCATGGGGTAGAAAGCTGCCAAGACTGGGCTATCGTTTAAACATACGTTCAATAAATGCGATTTCGGCACAATTTATAAATATTGTTGACCACCAGCAGAGGGTCATGGCCCCATAGCATTGATCTTTTAGCCTATCTGTATTGTACTGTGATCTGACCTTTTCGCCAGGGTATGTTCGTCTGGTGACCAATGTCGGCCCTCTGAACCTGGAGTTGCACTGTGACCAGACGCCGCGCGCCTGCGAGAACTTTATCAAACACTGCGCCAGCGGGTACTACAACGGCACCAAGTTCCACAGGTCCATCAGAAACTTCATGGTGAGTTTGAAGGGGGGGGGGGGATGGCGGGATTATCTCTGGTTGGTAAGACTGTGGTATGATGTATGATTGTGGTGCGACGATGTGTAACGCGCACACCAGAATAGCGGTTGCTGGTGAATTGTCCTGTTTTTTTTTTCTCAATGTAACGTGTAAATAGAGTAATTAAAGCGCTCCTTCGAAATGTTTTCCTTATCAAGTATCTGAGTATCCGTGGAGAGCCTTTACTCCCTGCTTACCCCGCAGATTCAAGGAGGCGACCCCCAGGGAACCGGTGAGGGCGGTCAGAGTATCTGGGGAGAGCCTTTCGCCGACGAGTTTCGGCCTAATTTGGGCCACAACGGTCGCGGAGTGCTCTCTATGGCCAACTCGGGGCCAAACACCAACAAATCGCAGTTGTGAGTATACGTGCACTGACGAGCATCTGCCGGCCAGCCCAGCAGACTAGCAGGCTTAGAGCTGGAACCAGTCAGTCTTTTGAATCTCAGGAGACCGCCAATTTATACTGCACACATATTCGCCTGTTTATTTGCGTTAGAAGCTGGTTCACGTTTTTTTTTTTGTCAATGACGTTACTGTCCGAAAAGTTCACTTGCTTGGTGGTCACAGGTCACTGATTAGCGTGAGTAATTCACCCCCCCCCCCAAAAAAAAGAGCTGGTGTTTTATCAAAGCTACGGACCCCTCCGGCCGCCCGTTGACCCGTCGCCCCCCCCCCCCTCCCCCAGTTTCATCACGTACCGTTCGTGTAAGCACCTGGACAACAAGCACACGGTGTTCGGCGGCCTGGTTGGAGGGCTGGACACGCTCTCCACCATAGAGAAGGTGGAGGTGGACAACAAGGACAGGCCCATCGAGGACATAGTCATCACGGCGGCGCACGTATTTGTTGACCCGTTCGCCGAGGCCGATCAAGAGGTACGAAGAGGGAGCTGGGGGAGGGAAGTTACAGGCGAGGGAAGTATTGGATAGTCAGATCATTTATATTTTAGATATATGTTTGTTGGAAGGGGACAGGCGAAGATGTCAGTGTAGTGTGTTGTGGGAGGTAACTTGTAACAGCTTGTAAGATTATTTGAGCTGAGAACGGGATCGCCGTGACCTTGCCGGTTAGGTATCCGTGGGAAATGCGAATAGTCGACCAGTATCCAGGCTGGGAGTTAGCCTGGTAGACTGAACGGCTATTCTGGCACCAGCTTGCTGTAGCGTACCAGAGGCTGTCGTCGCCCGACCGTTTGGAGGGAGGTGTGGCGTTGCTAGTAACTTTACTTACGAGTTCCGTGTTATTCAGTCACAATGAGCCATGACTGCGAATGTATATAAGTGAGCGATGTTGTTCATCTGTATATTCGAGATGATTACGGAGCGAGCGAAGCGAGCGGAGTCTTTCCTTAGATTAACGGAAATTTCTGAGTATGAGCGGCCGGCCGGCCGTGCGGACGCTTTTGCCAGGCTTATATCTCAGCAACCACTTGACCGATTTACACGCGGTAATTTTTATAGGGTAGCTTCATTCCTTCTACCAAGTATTGGACTATTCCCGATGCATGTAGGTGACCCCTTATGCACGTGCCACGTGCAAAACGAAGAGGTGTCAGTTTTGCAATTGTTGCAATATTTCGGTAACTACTTGGCCGATTGCGCTGAAAGTTGGCATGTAGGTAGGCACCCTCTAGGCACTGCATATCCATGTGCCAGAGTTGGGGTGCTGCTGCACGTGCGCACGTGCAGGGGTCGTTTCTAGATCTCGAGATCGGCTGGACCGATGGCGCTCAAATTTGGTACACGGTTAGGAATAGGGACCAGTTAGTAGGGTGCTGTGCACAAGTCAGTTGGGACCCATTTTGCACGTGCGCACGTGCAGGGTGCCGCTTCCAGATCTCGAGAACGGCTGGGCCGATTGTGCTCAAATTTGGCACATCGCTAGAGACCGGTTAGTAAGGTGCCGTGCACAAGTCAGTTGGAGGTACCCCCTCGAAATTTCGCACGTGCAAGGCCCGCCTGTCGCTCGCCCCGTTAGTCGCCCCAAAAGGCGTTATACTGGTTAGAGTATATGCTAGCTTGTATCTTTTTGACCAGTGCCTACATGTATTAGCCCGGGCAGTACGAGTCTGTTGGAGTAGGTATCTGTCTGTCCTTGTCCGTGCTATTCTGACCCGCATCTCTCCCCGTCGGCCCACAGCTGGCCCGGCTGAGGACGGAGGAGGCCGAGCGGCTGCAGGCAGAGTCGGGCTCCAAAGTCACCTCCACCTCCGCCCGGAGCGGTAACGCCGTGCGCGGACCGCTCAAACCTCTGAGGGAGGGGGTCGGGAAGTACATCGCACCCGGAGCCACCGCCGCCGCCGCCGCGTCCAAAACGTGAGCTAACGACGGACATCGGCAGACGATCGGAGACCTATGGGGAGGCTTGTACAAAAATGTGTGTCTTTCATGACCATTAGGTCTTTGCGTACCTAGTTTCTGTACTCTGGGCATGATATTGCGGGAAGACACCACTCTATCGCCTAAAGTGGTCATCATTCTCGCCAGCCCGGCGTACCAATTCACCCCGGCCCCCGCTCGGTGGCATGGGACGGCAGCCTACAACGGGGTCAAATGGTGGCAATTGAACCATCCGATTTGCACATCCCTTCATTGTGGTGCCGGCGGTCAGCCTATTCTAGCCAGCTCCCTCTCTCACACTGACGATGCCAAATGTTCGTAAGTCCATCGCCCATGCGCTGCTCTGTCTGGGACTCTCGGCTCCAGCCCAACAGTGAATCTCTCCCTCCTCGCCTACAGGAAGGCCGACGAGCCGCCGCCGCAGCCGAACAAGAAGCGGAAGGAGGCGTCGTACGATTTTGGCAGCTTCAGTTCGTGGTGAGCGGGCGGTGGAGGCGGGTTCGTGACGTCACAGTACCGCCGACCCGCCTGGGACTGACTGTGCGACGTCAGGCTGGAAGGTGCGTGGTACGAAATGTGTGTGGAATGGAGAGCTGTTTTCTCTGACAGCGCGTTGCAAGGTACTAAGGTGGTGTACTTTTTCCATCGCATTCCATTATGCTCATCCAATTCGCCGGTGAAGTCATCAGCAATAAGTGTATATTGAGTCACGTTTGCCAATAACATGAAATATAAACTGATACAAATAGTATTTGATGTGGATGTAACCGGAGCTCTGAGTATCACCATCATAATTCGTCATGCAACACGCTTGGAATGTTTCTCCAAAAGCAAATACACCGTTTAGAACACAAGCCAGCATAAAACTGACTAAAAATAATGTTTAATACTCTTTTTTCGACACGACACTGACAAAACGTCTTAACAATGACAAGCTCCTCCTGTCTTACAGACCGCAATATTTTGTCCATCATGGAACACTTTGGTATCACCAGCTTCCCTACCCGGCACAATCCTGTGCTCACATCACTGACCTAGTATCTATTCGTGAAAACCGATACAAAACATACCTGTCCACCCGATCCTCTCAGCCGCCGCCTACCCACCAGCGGAAAATGGAATAGTGCCGTACAGAAGCCCGCCGTCTGCACTACCCCTGCTGACGTCACGCTGGGTAATATGACGTCACTCCGGGAACACTTTCTGAACGGCCTGTTTGAGCTGACTGATGACCTCTGCCGGCTGCGGCGACTTTACCACCGCGCTGCCGGAGACGATCATATTGGCACCGGCCTGGAACGAACATGAGGGAGCGGGGGTCAGATAATAGCGACGGTGCTTCGAGAGGGGCACTGGAGAGCGGCGGGCTAGTTTGAGAGATGAAGCACCGTGGTGACGACTTTTTAGCTTCAGATACACATTGAACGGCAACGTTCGGACCACGCTAAAGCGACATGCGAAAAATATTGACATGCGATGCCTTGCGATATCTTTGGGTTAGCTGACACGGGAAGGTGACGTAAAAAGTCGAGGGTTTTCAAGCGCACAAGGGAACATGCCGGATAGCGACACATCGATAAAGTTTCAGAATTCAGATGCTGGTCGGTCGTCAATGCCCCTCCCCATGACCCACCTTGGCGCACTGGTCGATGTTGGCCGGACTGACGCCGCCGTCCACCTCGATATTGACCAGCGGGAACTCGGTGCGCAGCCGCTCCACCTTGGACATCATGTCGGCCATGAACTTCTGCCCGCCGAACCCGGGCTCCACCGTCATGACGAGCAGCATGTCGGCCAGCGGGCCATATGGCAGCACCACGCTCACGTCGGTACCCGGCTTCAGGCCGATGCCCACCTGCGGGACAGGGTGGGACGGGGTGGACGGGTGTGGGTAGTTGCCCTGGTACCTAGTGGATTGAAATAAGGTGAAACTGAGTGTTAAAGCAATAAGCATGACATGATCAAGGGAGTTGTGGCAGGTACCCTTTACAAAAGTGTAGACTGTAGGGAGACATAAGTATACAATGGATTTTTTTTTTGCATTTCATCTGTTAATTAATTTGAATTCACTGAACATAGCAATTATTTTCAGTAAATTAACTTTACTACCAGATAAGACTGAGTCACTATTGAAAAACACATGCACAAATGTTCACCTTCATCCCTGCCTCTTTGATCTTCCTGCAGAGGGCTGGAACATCCTTGGAGGCCTCGATGTGGAAGGTGTACTGGTTTGCACCAGCATCAGCCATGGCCTCCACCCACTGGTGAACAGAACGTACCTAGGTGACTGCAGAACACATGACACACACAATGAGCGCCTATCCATTCATTGCTATTTGAATCAGGTACCTAAATTACACAGATGCTGATCCTTTTTTAGACAAAATATCAGCATACAACTTGTCTAAGAATGAAGTCAAATCAGCCTCATTCTTTGCAAGATTGCCACTTGTTGACAGAAAGCACAACACATTCAGAGTGCACTAACTTCTAAGGCAAATAGGTGCTAGTGCACTGAGCTTATCGGTAAAAGTATACATTGAGTCCGAGTGACTGTAAAGATAAAGTTTTCATATTCTTACATTATTTGACATCCTGAATCCAAAAATGATACTTATATGTCTTGGAAATAAAAGAAAAACATAATCAAACCTGACCTACCCTTACCTATTTACCTACAACCTACCAACCTTCAACCTACAAACCTACAACCTAACAACCTAAAACCTACAAACCTACCAACCTAAAACCTATGGTATTTATTTACTTTAGGTCCGCAAAACAGAGGGGTAAATAAAAGTCATTCACACGATACTCTAAGACCTCCTGATTTCATTTCTGATACTTATTCCTTCTAGAAACCAATTTAAAAGCACCAGTACACTAGTATCACCAGCATCACCACCAACGGCCCCACCTCTGACCGGAACTGCACGTGTCAAAAGACCGTCTGCGCGGCGCACCCGCTACAAATGGTCCAACCAAGGTTGAGCGAAATTACGGATGATAATAAATTGTAAGGAAAGTGACGTCAAAATAATCGTGGCGGAGCGGTGCAGTGCCGAAGGCAATGCCTTAGGAGAGATTACAGGCAATGGTAAGTCAAATATTTTTAGGTTAAGTGGTTGTGTATCTGGCTTCAGGCCGAGACTTACCATTGCTTGCAATCTATTCATGCAAGTCACTTTTTCCTTTTCCCCCAGTAGGCAAACATCAGTAGGTCAGGTTAGGTAAGGTTTGGTTATGTTCTGATCATTTTCTCATGCTCTATTACCTTTGCTAAATATTTTCTCTTTTTTATTCACCGTTTTTTCTTGTGCTTTGGTATCATGACGTCATTTTCATAACATCGAAAACTAATGAATATCCACATCATCTTTTTCTTTTATATGGCAGCGTTGTATGTTTCGTTTTTGTCGCGGAAGCGTGCTTTCTTCAGTGTGTATTGTGCAGCAGTGCGGTGTAATGTGCTGGGGTTTTAGTATCTTATTTCACATTTTTTATGCATTTAAGCATCATATCTGAATTCAGGACATCAAATAGTGTAAGAATGTGCATTTTTTCTTGTTAAAATAATATTGCGGACCTGAAGTAAATATTTACCAAACCTAAAACCTACAAACCTACTACCTAACCTAACCTAAAACCTAAATTTTTTGCTGTTACATATTTGTATCAACAGCATCACAATTGTCCACTCGGACCTAATATATACTAATACCAGTTTATCTTTTATACTAACCTTTTCTGGATTTTCAACCATCATATGCATGTCAAAAAATGATTTGGGGATCTTCTGTCGTAAGCATTTCACAACAGGATGCCCAAATGTCAGGTTTGGTACAAAATGACCATCCATTACATCTAGATGAAGATAGTCTGCGCCTGAATTTATCATCTTTTCTGACTCATCATAGAGCATAGAGAGATCAGAGTTCAAAATTGATGGACCGATCATAGCCTTAGGACCACAGGCCATTTTGATGTGCTTTTAAGTTTCACAGAAGCTGAAGCGGCAGTGGAAGCATCCACGAAGCAGAGGCTCTTGATCTTTAAAAGGAATACAATATGTGCAGCAGTCCAAGAGTCTCAAACACACGGTAAGTGAAAAATACTCGGGTCCCGACCTAACCGTAGCGCCGTCGACTTTCACAAACGACCTCCGCGTCCTTCACGGCTGTCGCCTGCGCTATTTTTTGAAGAAGTTGCGCCAAATCTGTATTTTACCGTTTTTACAACTTGTTTTATTTCTGTGCAGCTAAATGACGTAACAAAGTTTTAGAGAAAAGGGTAAAGTTTGCTTCAGACATGAAATATCATAGGTATTCATCTTGAAATTCAACAACTCAATCAACATGAAAATCTTACTGAAATTGTTTTTCAGGACCCAAAGGTAATTTTGAGTCAATGATTCATTCTGGTTGATTGCTATTTGCTTACAGGTTAAAAGTTGATGACGTCACAAAATTTATGCACTCCAAGCATTAAATTTATCTTGTTGACTGTTCTTCGCTGTGCGTCGTCCAACGTTGTTGTATGCCGATGTGTGACTGTTGGGTGCATTGGGTGATCGTTGGGAATTAGGATAATTTGCTTGGAATTGTTGGTAGGTGGCCTGGTAAGTTATCATTTTATTTCCTTTTATCGCCATCGAATTACATTAATGCTTAGAGACTGAATAGAGGGACGTTTGTAATATTTTAGAGCTTTTTTAGTCTTCATAAGTTCCTTTGCAATTGTCGCATCAGTCACACAGTGATCAATGATCATTGATCAATCTATTTTCATTTGCTTATATGCTGTTGATAGGTACTGTTCGAATCGGTGACAATGCAAAATTCTTCAATGACTTTCAATAATCTTGCCATCAGTGTTTGAAGCCTTGTAAATTAGAACGCATGCTATTGCTAATCAGATCACGAGCACTTGAATGTGATGGATATTTTGGTATATGTCAAGTTTAGGTCCTAACTACAATTGTGACGCTGTTGATACAAATATGTAACAGCAAAAATTTTCGGTTTTCGGTTAGTTCAGACTTCAGGTTGTAGGTTTGTAGGTTTTAGGTTGTAGGTCAGTCGGGGAAACTATGGTAAAATCTGCTATTTTTAGCAGTCTGCTTTTTTTAACAGAAATCTGCCAAAAATGGGTACGCATGTGACGTCATCGTACCCAAATATAGCAGATTTGGGTACGGCCCCATACAAAAGCAGATCTGCACCCTAATTGAAGCAAATGCGCATCAAATGCCTGGCAGATTCATGATTAGAATAGTGCTGAGAATATCCTCTGATATTTTTGTTCAGATCTGACTATTTTCAAATAATGAATTTGAAAATAGTCGGATCTGAACAAAAATAGCAGAGATCACTCTCAGCACTATTCTCATCCAGGCCCATGTCACTCCACTTTTGATGACATCATAAGGGGGCCTCAGGACAATAATGGCGCGGCGCGCCACAATCGCTTCAAAGCTACTTGCCAACAGTTGCCATTTTTGAAAATATTATTTTGAAATAAAGTTCCAAGTAATAAAAATATTGTAATAAAGATATTGAATAAATCGATACCATATCTAAAAACTTACTGAAAAATGATTTATTCATAGTAAAAATATAAGCTCGATGCGTTTTTACGTTGCTTTCCTGCAACTGCAGAGGGTTTTTAAATCGTCTATATCTTCAAAACCGGCCATTTCTTAGCATATTGCTGCTCTTTTTTATCGCTAGAAAATTAGTTGGACTTTCTAATGACATCAATCGTTGAGCGATATGTGAAGAGTGTCACCAACAATCTTCAAATGAAGTTAGTCATTTTTACATTGTAAAGGAATGGAGTACCCCTTTCGAGCATCAGGGGTGACGTCACTCAGGATCTGTCTCTGATTGGTCGGCGGGGGAGTGACTGTACCTTCTATAGATGGCCTTGTTCTCATCATGAATCTGCCAGGCATTTGATGCGCATTTGCTTCAATTAGGGTGTAGATCTGCTTTTGTATGGGGCCGTACCCAAATCTGCTATATTTGGGTACGATGACGTCACATGCGTACCCATTTTTGGCAGATTTCTGTCAAAAATAGCAGACTGCTAAAAATAGCAGATTTTGCCATAGTTTCCCCGACTGAGGTAGGTAGGTTTGTAGGTTTTAGGTTGTTAGGTTGTAGGTTTGTAGGTTGGTAGGTTATAGGTAAGTAGGTAAGGTTAGGTCAGGTTTGATTATGTTTTTTTCTTCTATTTGTGAGACATATGAGTATCATTTTTGGATTCAGGATGTCAAATAATGTATAAGTATGAAAAATTTATGAATGAAATCTGCTTAGGACTTAATCTTGACATTTACTGATATTTTTTCCAAATCAGAATGTTAACCCTCGCCCGCACATACCATTTTCCCATCCTAACTAGAACGCACGTGGGGGGGGGGGTTGCCACCCCCCCCCCCGCGCCATTTCGTTCCTGTTGGAGATAGAGCTTAGCGGTAAAGACCAAAAAGATTCTTTGGGAAGAGACGAATCCAATGATACCCAGTTTTACCTTCTCAGGTCAGTCATTGACCTTCCAGGTGAGGTCAAACTAAAAAATGTTGCTGTTTTGGGTCACCGCTGGATATCAAGTGCGCTGCTTATCATATACCGATGACGATGCCATTTTCTGGTGCCAAGCCAGCTAGAACCTCTTTGTCACTCTACCCGACCATGTTTTTGCTGCTGAGGTCATTTCAGGTCAAGTTAGGTCAAGGTCAATTATATGTGTTTGCATGTCTGTGTCATGTGTGTGTCTGTGTGTATACTGATGAGTGCATCGATTGTTTATGTGTCCATATTACATGAAATCATGATCTGAGAAGCCTTTACCAAAAATGCAGCAAAAAAAAAACTTCACAAAAAGTAATTTTCGCTTGCCTAAAACGCAATTATCTTAGATGACCTAGGTTGACCTCGACTTTGACCTTGACATCTGTACATCGTCGAACAACATGTTCCATGATAGGTGGGAGGTTAGACTGGCAAAAAAGGCCGAAATCAAGGTGTCAAAAGCTCACAAGGCCCATAGCCAACGCAAGATGTTGAGAATTGGCCATTTGGGTCATGACATGACCTGAAAAACAAGGTCATATCTCCGAAACCAAAAAGTACAGAAACTTGAAATTTTCAGTGGACATCAAGAAAGGATAGAGGAGCAGCTATACGAAAAATCAGGCTTCTAGCTCTAAAAATGTTGAGTGCAGAGCAGAAAGACTACCTGGGGGGGTGGCAACCACCCCCCCCCCCATGTGCGGGCGAGGGTTAAGCCATCAATAAGCAATTGGCTGAATGGATACATAACCTAACGAAGACCGACATAAGACCAACCCAAACGCCACCGATCGAAAATATTCCTTATTCATGTTGCGCGGGTCACTCTAGTTAAGGAGTTGGAACCTATCCAGAAGGATGGATCCTGGATTAGTCACAACACAACAACTGATGAATGATGAGTTGTCAGGAGGTACCTACATACTACACTGTATGGTCGTAGGGCTGCACAAGACCTAACCTGATGTCTCAGGCAATTTTGTGCTCATCAAAGCTAGAACAATGATGCTGCTTAGTGCTTTAGCCTATGCTTGCATGACCAAGCATGAAGCTTAAAATGAATTTTCATTTGAATGTGACACTGATGGTATTGGAGGGATTGTTTGTAATGATTTTGAGCTGCTTTATTTCTTTTTGCAGCCATGCATCAGTTTGACAAACAACATTCCATTGAATAGGTACCTAGCCCATAGATATAAAGACATTAGACAGGTAGCCTCTTTACTGCTTCTGTGATAACTGATGTCAATATTGACTTGCTATTGATGTATCCAAGTGATTATGAAACTTATAGTACTTTCAATATGTCAATTTAACTAAACCATATTGGTGTTTTCCTAACTGCTAATGTATAGTAATTAGTAACATAGGTCAGTTGTCAGTTCACTGGTCAATGACCAAAATGTCAGGAAATGCAAGACTTGCTATACTTTCAGTTAGGTTGTTATGAGTTTTTTTTTTTGGGGGGGGGGGGGGGGTCTGATTTATAATTTTACAGTTGTCTTGCTATCTTATGTCAGTGACCTTGACTTAGCCTTCAAGTGCCGGTCCCGTAGCGCAGTTGGTAGAGAGTTGGACTCTGCGTGGTGAGAGCACGCGTTCCCGGTTATAGCAGTCCGGGTTCAAAGCGTGACGGCGATTGACGTTTATGAGCCTCCTGACACGCATGATTGCGGTTGGTGGCAGGCCGTAGCCAGGCGAAGTCAGTGAGGGGACCGGCCGTGCGCGGCTATGTGCGCACGTTAACCCGCACCCCGCTGGGGGTCCTGGATTTCCACGTCCTGCTGGGGGGGGGGGGGGTGTTTGAACACCCTTTCTAACTCGGCTCCTGGGCCACGTAGCGATACGCGGAAGGCGGAGTTCGAAAGAGCGCAAAAAATAATGACGAAATCACTTCGGCCATCTTTTGGGCAAGTGACAGGTCAAAGGTCAGATCACCAGAGGTCATTGAAGACAAAATTTCACCGATTTTCAGGTCGAATGTCAACAATTTCCAAGAAGCCAACGCATAACTCGAGAACCAATAAAGCTACAGCGCCGCGGAAAAGCGCATTCGATAGCCCTATCAGCGCCCTTGCTGATTAATTCTCTCAGATTTGACCTAGCGTCAGCGGTTCTGCCTGCAGCGGGCAAAAACTGCCAAAATAGCCGATTTTTTCTGAAACAGTTTTTCTGGAATAACTTTTGACCCAAGTCTTGCACGAGCTTACTTTTACCGGCATCGTGTTCCGCTCGTCAAGACGCATCGAATGAATTATAATTTGACCTTTGAAAGGTCAACTTGAAAAATTGACCTCAGTTCAAGGTCATGACCTTATCGGAAAGGGTCATGTTGCATATCAGTCGATCCGTATCGTCGAGCTGAACACATCTAAGGCGTTTTCATCGCTCTAGCATGCCTCTATCAAAAGTTATCCGCTAAAAATTGCTAGATACCATTCGTGACCTGAGATGACCTCAGGGGTATAAACAGGGGTCACAGACACCCTTTTTACGTTCAGTGTGTCTAAGTTACTTGTAATTCAGTGTTTGGAAGTGTTAAAAATGGCTTTCGTCTGAAAGGCGCGCATTTCAGTTTTCTCCCATTGACTTATTCTCCCATTGGAGGTCGCAAAATTGGCCTGATCTAAGGTCATCGATATCAAAATTATGAGATACACATTTTGTACATACTATTGCTCTTAGCAATCGCTGAAAGTTTCAAAGCGATTGGTCACTCGGTGTAGCTATGGCAGACGTTGAAACTTTTTATGAGGTATGGTCACTTCAAGTGACCTGGTGACCTGACCTCGAATGACCTTGGTCTGAAATTTTCACAACATGTGCGGAATTGATGTATGATAAGGTGTGCCAAAAACCACAGGGGCGGTGCTCAACCCCCCCCCCCCCCCCAGCAGGGCGCGGGTTTGGACTCCAAATTCTGCCATGGAACCGGAATTGCGCGATCGGAGGGTAGAAGGCAGGGTCAACGCATCAAGTTTTGCTTAGCGAAGGCCCTTTCTTTGCGAATCCTTCCATTCAAAAGTTTCGGACAAAATTTATAAACAAGTGACCTTGACTCTCTCCATAGTTCATAATCATTGGGATAAACAGCATTTACAATTTGCATGTTCACGTGCTGCTAATTACAAAAAAAAAAACGTATGGAAGCGCACAAATATCTAATGTGTGCTGAGGGCTGACATGTCTTGAAGCTGGCTGACCATGCTTTTTGAGAAGCAAGGCAAAGGTCATTTAGATCAGGGTCATGAAATTCCCAGGGCTGGCATAATATTGATTATCTTGAGGGTGCTGAAAAAGTTTGTTGCAGTCCACCGCTTTTTACGCAACTAATTTGTAGAGAAATGAAAGCAGAAGGACGCTCCATCTGATCCCCTCCCCGTAAGTGCAGGGGTAAGAGTAGTCAAGATTATTGGACTTAGAATAATTATGTATTGGCTAATGGCTAGGCATATACCTACTATTACTTGGTTTATTGGTGGGTATCCATCAGGCAATTCCTTTTAAATTATTATGTTTGAGGTGCCACGGCTGAGCGCGGCTGGAGACCGGCCTTACACTCTTCGTCAGCGGGTAGAATGTAGATTTTATGTGAAATGCAATTTGGGTGACAACTGATCAAATGCATTTTTTCTGTTGCTTCCAGGCATAAGTGATTCATCATGATTGGGCGCATAGTTCTTCCTAAAACGACAACAATGTCGTTAAATGACAGGTACGTGATTGAACACCCCATCAGCTGCATTGAGTAAATCACCGTCTCTTTGTTATGACAAAATGTGTTCGACGATCTTCGTTATCCTTTAAGAAGCTAGATATACCGGGCTTCTCACAAAAGTCGGATGAATTTATAATTAATATATTTTAGGATGTGTCAGTGTTACAAAAATAAATCAGGTATCACCTGAAAGCTTGGTTAAAAATGTTTTGTTTCAGGGGATTTCGACCGTCGGCGATCGCCTAACTGAGCCGCGCCGAACCTGTTCGAGATGACCCCCGTTTCGCTCGATGCAAAGTTAAGCCCGGTGCAGCGCGGCCTCTGTTGCAGCACGGCACACGGAAGGTGGCAGCTGAACACACTGCCAACCTCACTGCACCCTTCAGGTCTTTGGGACTTCTTGGGTGGTTTTGGAACACCTGGGACTTGAGGTGGTCCTACAGGAAAAAGTCCGATGGGGTCAAGTCCGGGGAGCTCGCTGGTCACGGATGTGTCTCAAACCTCGAGATCACACGCTGCCCGGAGCGCTCCTGCACCCACTCCCGGTTTTCTGTAGCGGTATTGGCCGTGGAAACGTCTAGTCTAGCTGGAACTATTGGCATTTGAGTGCTTCAGGATCGCTGCCCATTGTGGTCTGCAGGACACTCCAAAAATTTGTCAGGGTCATCCGGTATCACTGACCGTTGACAGCCTGGGTAGCGCATCTCTCACACGAGCGACGTTCGCCGGGCTTCTTTGATTGGGTTTGCAGCCGCCGCTGTGTTCTTTGAACCAGCAGTTAACATTTCCTCGGCCCAGAAACTTTCAACAATGTGGAATATAGCATTTCAAGATGGTGTTCACTTTGCAAAAAAAAAGATTGCGGAAGTTCCGTTGTGTTGAAACGACCGACTTATTCTGAAAGTAGAATTTCTTTGAGTTTGCTTTTGCGTCTTAAGACCACAGTCTCATTTTTTAAACTCAACAAGTATGGTATCATATAAATCTCCTAAAAATTTGCTTTCTTTTCACGTGCATTTGTTTCGTTTAAATATTGTTTCCAGTCCACTATCTGCAAAAGAAATTGGTCCGACTTTTGTGAGAAGCCCGGTATGTCGACTGCAGCTAATGTCTGATTCGTTACGGCCAGAGTGTTGTAAAACCGTTTGTCTGGTTATGATGCCCTAGCGATAGCGCTCAATCTGACGGTGGCGCTGGCTGTCGGCAGGTTCTCGCACTTTCGTCAGCTGCGGGAGCAGCGCCAGGCGGCGGCGGCGGCGGCGGGCGTGGGCGCGGCGGCGGCGGTGGTGCGGCCGCGCCTGCCGGCAGCCGCCAGCAGCGCGGCCAACCAGCGGCTGGCGGTACAGATGGAGAGCCGGCCGTCCGTGCTGGCCGCCCTGCGCGCCAACGGCACCGCGGTACGGCGCAGACTGACTGGTGGAGGCGGGGGTAACGAACAGCTGGGCCGCGGTACTGACGGGTGGAGGCGGGGGTGAAGGAGCTGGGCCACGTTACAACCGCAAACTGAGGGATGAGGTGGTGGCAGTAACTGCACGTAACGTAGCGTTGCCGGCAGTAGCATAACGGGCAGTAACGTAACGGGACTACGAGACTGCTGATTGGGATCTCTCAGATTGGTGACAAATCGGCTGTAATGTGTATCTCGAAACAGCTGTCAATCTTAGCCGTCCTCTTCTCAAGATCAATCAGATGTTGTTCTATACCTGATACATTTGTAGGTGCTTCACTATTACGGTTCTGTGAGAACTCGCAAGATTCCCCTCGTCCAGCGTCCAAGAGGCCTCCATGTACCGTGCTAGTCACTCAAAGCTGCTGTAAACCCTAGCACTGCTGACACTGACCCCTGACCATTCCCGCAGAAGCCGACTCCGGCGGCGATGGCGATGTTGCCAGCGGCCGCGGCCGTGACGCCCCGTACGCGCCAGTCCATCAAGCAGCGCCTCTCGGTGAAGGCGCGCCTGGGCGTGGTGCGCAGTCCGGCCGCCAGGGGCGCCACCGGCGGCGGCCGCAGCATTCTGACCCGACTGGGCCGCGTCCGGCCGGCCGTGAAACGGCTCCAGCCGACCAGAGGTTGGTGGGACACCTGATACTAGGGTGCAATGGTGTCGAAAATGTCTTGTTAAACTGAATTTTAGATAGTTGTTTAGAAGGCAATATGAAGATAAAGGCGTCCTTTCAATGTTTCTATTACTCTTCTCAGTCTCGAATCTGGAACGTAAATATTCCTCGCAGACTTTCCTCAAAGAACGAATAGATACATACATCAGCTAGGTCTAGTCTTTGTTGTATTATCACACTAACCGCGCTCCCCTTCCCGCAGCGTCCGGCCGCGTGCAGCCGTGGGGTCGCGGCGCGGCGCGCGGCCGTGCCCGCAGCTGGTCGGCCGGTGTCGGCGGCTCCGGCGGGTTCCGGGGACGAGGCCGCGGCAGGGGCAGGGGGCGCGGACGGGGCCGCGGTGGCGGCGCGCCGCGGATGACCCGCGAGGAGCTCGACCGCCAGCTGGATGACTACATGGCCAGTACCAAGAGTCAGCTGGACGCCGAGCTGGACGCGTATATGAAGGAGTCGGTCATCTGAACAGACTGGCGGAGGACTGAGGTCGGCAGAAGGGCAGCTGAGGCTGGCTGAGGGCCAGCTAAGGGCTGTCTGAGGTGACCTGAGGCCAGCGAAGACTGAAATTGACTAGGCTGGCTGACTGAGACTGGCTGAACTGTTATTCAAGCCCAACTGTGAGTTGCTATGACCGGCTGAGGCCGGCCAAGGCAGACGAGTTAGCTCACTGGTTGAGACTGGCAGTGACTGTCCTGCCAGCGTGCCACGGCGCTGGCTCCGCGGAGGGCCGCCGCGAGGCCTCCTAAGCCTCTCTCTACCGAACTGTGACCGCGGTAGGGCCGGCCCGGGCGTCCAGCCCACCCCGCGACCGTGTTTGGGGAGGCTCCGCTGCCGGGCCCGCCGCCACTTCTGTGATCGCTGCGCCGTGTTGTACAAAGGGTGAGAGGAGCGATCGTGTCGCCGCCAGAGACTGACCGGGCGGGTGAGTGAGGTATGAACTGCGGTGGTGCCGTGGTCGGGTGTTTTTTAGTTTCGCCAACGGAGCCAGTTGTAACGATCGACTTACCGAACGACTGCCGATGTCGGGGATGGTTTGTGTGCGTGGCGGAGGGGAGAGTTTTGGGCGGGTTCCGCCACTCTGTCCCCTTATGCGGACGGGTGGCGGGCACGAGTGACAACGCGTGGTCCGTGACATGAGTTGGACTTGAAGCGTGCATTGGCCGTGAATGCATTTGCTGTCGATAATCCAGATATTGCGACGATAAAAGTTTGTAATGTTGTCATGAGTTTGTGGGTTGTTTGCGTGTTTCAGATCGTGTGTTACTCGATGCGCGATAATGGGATTAAGCGCATTCTTCCACCTTGAGCGGCATTGTTTGTCTGCATTTCAAACGAATACCATTCAATCTGTGCAATGCCCGCGACATCTTCATCCCAAGGCGCAGTGTCGTACCCACCGACGCTGAGTCGCGCCGCCGGTCACGGTCCCACCCTGCCATCCGCCGCGGATTCCGCACCCACCGACACCGCGCTAACGACCGATGGCCGCGCCTTTAAACTTTAATAACCGCTCGGCGGATTATGTCGGCCCTCCAGCCGCGTTTTACGGCTGGTGAATGAGGTCCTAGCCGGCCCGCGGGACACTGCGACAGCTCCCCAGCGCGAGGCCGGACCAACGCTCCCTGGATTGGATCGCCTTCACGCGGTGGGGAGTGTGGTTGCCCTCCGGGGCGGCCTATCGCGTCGGTGGAGAGCCGGCGCGTACAACAAAACGATCCAAACGTGCCCCCTCCGAGGGGGATCTGGCGGCCGTCATCATCGGGCCGCCGCGCGTTGTCTCCTCTGGTGTCCTCAACCCGACTACATCGACCTTCATCGCCCCGGGGCTGCGTATGCCCACTGGCGGGACCGGGCCAGCGCTCGCAGCGCGGCCGGGTCCCGCTAAATGAGTAGCACCCTGGGTGTGCCCGCCCCCCGCGGCACCGAGGGGGGTGGTGGCAGCGGACGGGGAAGCCGCGGCAACAGAAGACGGGCCCGTAACAGGCGCTATCACCGCAATCGTGCCCAGCGCAGTCTCCTGCACCTCGTGTGCTGGAACGCGGACGGCCTCCAGACCAAGACTGGAGAGCTCGAACGCTGGCTCCTGACTTCACATGCGGACGTGATAGCGATCCATGAGGGTCAGTTCCCGCGGGCTGCCCCCCGCCTGCCGGGCTTTCAACCGCCCGTTGTCACAAGACGGGCACGTGGACGTGTCACCGGTGCAGCGGTGGTAAAGGGCGGCGATGTGGCGATCTACGTGAGGTCCGGAATCCACTTCGCCCCCCTGGACGACCGCCCACTCGCGGCGAACGACGACACAACGGAGATCTGCGGCGTCCGGATCCTCGGCCCCCGTGCCCTGGATATCTGGTGCCTCTACAGGCCCCCGATCAGGTCCTCGGCCGTCGACCAACGAGTGGACAACTTCGACCCTGACCTGCTCCCAAGCGACGACAACTCCATCATAGTCGGTGATTACAATGCCCATCACCCCCTGTGGGACTCTGCGTGCGACACGGCGGACTCGGCCGGGGACAGAGTCGCTGACTGGCTGGACCGAACCGGATGGACGGTCCTGAACTCCGGCGAGTCGACACTCGTGGAACGCCAGTCCGCGCCCGATCTCGCCGCCTGTAGCACGGAGCTCTCTCGCAGGACCATGTGGACATTGTCGGACTCCCTTGGTAGCGACCACAGAGCAATGGTGATGAAGATAAGGAACGGCTTCAGCGCCTCCAGCAGGATCCGCGCCCCCAGATGGGCACACAAGAAGGCCGATTGGAGGGCCTGGTCGGACGAGTGTGAGGCTGCACTGGCCGAGGCGCCCCCTCCGGAGCCTACGGCCCAGCAGCTCTGCACCCGATTCACCGCGGTCCTGCAGCGGGCCAGCAACCGCTTCATACCACGTGGCTCGTACGCCAACCCGAAGCCCTGGGCCTCCGACCCTGAGCTGGAGGCGGCGGTCCGGGAGCGCCGCGAGGCGCAGGCCAACGTGGACCCCGCCGACCCCGCGACCGTTGAACGGTGGCGAGAGGCTAGACGCCGCGCCGCTGAGATCGACGCCAAGGTCTCGCGGGAACGGTTCAGAGAGGTCGCCTCTTCGGAACTAAACCGCCGCGCCAGTCTCGGTAAGGTGACACGGCTATTGAAGAAGTGGGAGAACGCGACGGACGATGAACACAGGGACGGACAGGCGATGAAGCACAACGGCCGACTCCTGGCCAAGGACGAAGAGAAAGCTGAAGCCTTCTGTGCGACCTACGCCTGGGTCTCCAGGAGTGTCCGCTCCCCGAAGATCGACCGTCAAGCGAAGGCTGAGCACCGCAGGCTCACCCCACCCGTGTGTCGGGAACGCGACGGCCGCCGTCGCGGCTGTTGCAGCCCGTTCACCGAGGAGGAGCTTACCCGCCAACTTCAGCGACTGAAGATGAAGAAGACCCCCGGCCCTGACGGCATCAGTAACGAGATGCTCAGGCATCTGGGCCCGGTCAGCACGGCGGCACTCCTCCTGGTCATCAACTCCAGCTGGCGCAGCGGCGAGGTCCCGTCGGAGTGGAGACGGGCTACCATCTGTCCAATTCCGAAGGCCGGTAAGGACAAGTCGAAGGTGTCGTCCTACCGCCCCGTCGCCCTTACCAGTCACCTGGCTAAGCTGGCGGAGCGCCTCATCCTAGCGCGCCTGAACTACGTGGCAACGGAGCGCGAGCTGATCCCGCCAGAGCAAGTAGGGTTCCGCGAGGGACGCTCCGTAGAAGACCACCTCGGCCGCCTGGTGCAACAAGTGCAAGATGGCTGGCAGGTGCCGCGCTCTCGGAAGAAAAACCCACAAGAAGGCGAGTCGGCCCAGCGCTATGTCCTCTCGGCATATGACTTTGCCCGAGCGTACGACACTGTGGACCACCATCTCCTGCGAGTCGTACTGCTCCGTCAGGGTATCCCGCTCTGCCTGATCAGCTGGGTCTGGTCCTACCTGCGTGACCGTCGGGCCCATGTTAACGTGAACGGCTGCAAGAGCCGCGACCGCGTCTTTCGCGCGGGCCTGCCACAGGGAAGTGTTCTGGCGCCGTCCTTGTTTTTGTTGTGGGCGGCGCCGCTAGTGGCGGCCCTCAAGGAGATACCCGGCACGACCGTGTTTATATACGCGGATGACACGGCCACCCTATGCGCGGGTAACGACATTGAAACGGCAAGGCGGCGGGCGCAGATGGCAGCGGACGCCCTCGTTCAGTGGGCCGGAAGGGCCAAGATGCAAGTGGCGGGCGAGAAAACGCAAGTCCTGGTCCTCTCGCAGTCCCCCAGAGACGCGGCCGACTGCTCCATTCGTGTGGCAGGGGAAGCTGTGTCCGCCGGGGACAGCCTGAAGCTGTTGGGAGTGACCCTGGAGCGCACACTCCGCTTCGGCGCCCACTGCAAGGAGCTCCGAAGAAAGACGCGCCCACGCATCGCCCAACTCCGAAAACTCACCGGCCGAAACTGGGGACTGGAGGAGGAGCAGCTCCGGGCGGTGGCGAGCGGCTACGTGCGAGGTCCGCTCGAACACGCCGCCGCCGCCTGGCTACCTGCCACGCCTCCCTCCCACGTGGAAGTACTCGAGAGAGAGGTACGAGCCATCTCTAGAGTGGTCACCGGCTGCCCCGTCTCAACGAGAAAACACGCAGTCACGGCGGAGGCCGGCCAGGTGCCGGTCGAGGTGCGCCGCCACGCTCTCGCGGCGCGCTTCCTGGCCAAGGCGAGGTCACTCCCCGTCTCCGATCCGCTCCGAGCCGTCGCCGACGCGGTCGTTGCCCGGCGTCTCTCGTCGGTCACCGGCTGGCGCGACGTCGGCCAGGCCGTGTGGGCGGCCGCCGGAGTCACGGCTCCGATCGAGCCGGCGCTGACGCGCCGCCCCCCACCCTGGGCCGAGACAGGTGATATCACCTTCTGTCTGGATATCGGCCCCGGCCTTCCGGTGGGTGCGGGCGCGGAGCTGAAGAAGTCAACGGCGGAGACATTCCTGGCGGGTCTGCCCCAGTGCGCCACCTGGGTCTGGACTGACGGCTCCGTCGTGGGTGGCACCAGCAGCGGAGGCGCTGGAGCCCTGATCGTGTATCCCGACGACGAGACGGTGGAGCTACGGGAAGCAGCTGGCAGCCTATGTTCCAGCTTCCGGGCTGAGCTGGTGGCGCTCAGAGAAGCTCTAAGGCACCTACACGAACATCCAGCACACACCGGCGACCCTATCGTGCTCTGCACCGATTCTCAGGCGGCACTCGCGAAGCTCCGCGGGGGTCCATCAGAGCAGGAGTCGCCGATGGGAGCCGAGATCTGGAAGCTGCTGACAGATCTTGCCTCCGGGGGGAGATCGCTCCGCCTGCAGTGGGTCCCGTCGCACTGTGGCATTCCCGGCAATGAGCGCGCTGACGCCCTGGCCGGAGAAGCGTCGGCACTCCCCCAGGAGGAGGCACCAGTCGATGTGCGGACCGTCCACCGTGCGGCGGCGAGGGCGGCCAGCTCGCGGGCCCTAGCTCAGTGGCCTGTGGGCTGGTACCGCTCGCTGATGGCCGGCCACCTCCCGCCGCCGGTGCGAGACTACCCGAGAGAGGTCGCCATCGACATCCACCAGGTGCGAGCGGGTCACTGGTCCGGTTCGGCGGCATACCTGCACCGTATCGGCCGTAGCCCGTCGCCCCAGTGCGAGCAGTGCATGGATCCGCGCTGCCGGGCGAGCTGGTGCCTGGCCTGCGGCGAGGCGCCGGATACGTCTGAGCACCTGCTGCTCCACTGCCCTGCTTTGATGGTGCGGCGTTTCCGGCTCCTGGGAACGCTGCACCCCGCTATCGAGGAGACCAGACGGGACGACGTGGTGGCGGCCCTGGTGGGGGCCGCCAGATCCCTCCAGAGCCCAAGAGCTACGGTCCGCCCGGCGGGCCGGGGGGACTGACGACGACGACGACGACGAGGCCGGACCAACAGACAGCTCTTCCTTCACTGGTATCTCGCTCTATTAAAAATCACTATTCATATATACACTCGCATAGTTTACGGAGCACCTCCGAAATCAACGACAAAACGAGGTCGACGCACGACTATTTTACAAAAATACCACAGATGGAGGCGGCCCTCGGAGGCCGGGCCGGACCCGCCGGCTGCATGGGAGCACTGACACGGACACGCACATACGGGAGGCAGCGACGGCGGGCGACTGAGATCAGAAAACGCCGAGCAGAGCACGGAGCGTCACATGAGTCGACGATCGCGGACTGACGCGTCCACGCGCACAAGACCGTATAAAGTAATCGGTAAATCAGCACCAGACAATTAATCGGCTCTCAACAACACGATAAACGGCTTCTAAAGGTGACGGCGGTGAGACGCGCGCGGCGCGGGGGCGGCCGGTTACCGACCCAGGTCGGCGTCCCGGCGCGGCAGGCCCGGCAGCGGCGGCGCGCCGGGCACCGGCGGCGGCTCCAACCTCCGGAGAGACATTGACGAGCAGCCGGCCAGACCGGCGAGCGGCCCGAGCGGCGGGCCGAGCCCCGGCACCGCGCCCGGGTACGGCGACTTGAAACTGTTGACTAGATGCAGCGAGTCGTGCGGCGGAGGTGGCGGCGGACGCATGCCGTACGGCGACGCGGCCGGCGCATGCAGTCCCCAGAGCAGCTTGTGGTCGAGCAGCTGGCGGTCGCGGGCCAGCCGCTCGAGCTCGCGGGACTGCAGCTGCGCCAGCTCGGCGGCGGCCGGGTCGCGGTACAGCTGCGCCAGCTGCAGCTGCCGGTCCCGCTCCAGGGTTTCCCGCAGTGCGTCGTGGCCGAGCGCCGCCTGGTACGGGTCGAGCGGCGGCGGCGGCGGGCCGCGCGGCGCCTCCAGAGGTCCGTACCCGTACGGCGGCCGGCCGGCGGCGTACAGTGCCGCGGCGGCGGCGGCCGCGCGCCCGTCGGCCGGGTGCGGCACCACTCCGTTCATATGCCGCGCCGCCGCCGCTCCCTTGTGGTCGGCGGAGCGGGGCCGCTCCTCGTGGTGGAGCCGCGGCTCGGGCGGCTCCGCCTTCAGTCGGATGGGAGACCGAGAGTGGTCGCGGCGCGGCGGGGTGGCCGCTGTCCGGCGCCGCTCCGCAGAGCTGGGCCGCCGGTCGCGCTCCTCCAGGGCAGGGCTGTACGGAGGCCGGCCCGGGGCGGCCGGCGGCGGCTCCGGCTTCAGAGACGACCAGGAGCTGGTTGGCGCCGGGGGACGCGCCAGCCTGACGGGGAGAGGACGGTCAGTGTCACTAAAGGGGCTCAATTGCCGGTCACAGTAGGCAATCCACACAGACGGACAAGTCACAATGAAACTTATGATTGGCTTCGAGCAGTCAATGAGTCTATACTAGAGACAAATGAGGTTGGCACAGACGATTCACGTTGACACAATATCAAAAGCCTGAACTACGCTCCTCCCCGTTCTCACCTGTTCCACGAGTCCAGCGCCGCGAAGGGGTGTCCGCCTGCCGGCGGCGCTGGGCCGTGGCGGTCCAGGAAGGCGCCGGGCGGGGGCGGGGGCGGCAGCAGGCCGCCGAAAGCACCGCTCGCCGGTGGCGCCAGGCTGGGGTAGCGCGGGAACCCGGTAGGTGCTGAAACCACAAACGGACGAGGGGTACGGCGGCTATACGCTAGACACAGTAATAAGGCCGGCGGACCGGGAAAGTTTTTGCAACGGAGATGCTTACAGTCATGGTACTTAGGCATCCCAATTACCAACAAGCCAATCCCTTCCCAAAGCATGAGTACCACTGTTTCTTTTACGACTGAAAATGCTCAGTCCCCAGAACGTAAATCACAACTATCTGTCAAGCCGGCAGTGATTTTCTCGCTTTTGACTCACACAAAGCCATCCCCATCAAGAACCATCCCACCACCGAACCACCTACCTAGCGGGTGCGGCGCGCCCGTCACATCCATCAGCGAGGGCCGGAGGTGCGCGCCCGAACCGGGCAGGAGGGGCGGCTCCACCGGCCGCGGCCCCGCCGGGCCGGCCGCTCCCCGCTCCGGACCGCACGCACTCGCCGGCGACTTCTGCTGGTTCTTGTAGATCTCCCAGGCTATCCGCACGTGCATAGCGTTCCAGCGGCCGGTCTTCTGTGGGCGGAGAGCGGAGCGGTGGCAATGGTCAGAGAAGGGTCGCTGAAGGCAGGACGTGCGCGGGTGCCTCGCTGTTTCGATGACAAGCATAGAGGCATGCAAGGGCACGAATAAAAAACGAAGCAAATAATGACGACCGTTAGTTTAGGAGCCGACGGGCTACGTCTTAAGGTCACAGCTGGCCCATTTCACAGCAGCAAGTCTTCTCCCTTTGCCTACTTTGATGTTCACCAAAAATCATCAGAAGCAGTATCCGTTTCCGTCCCTGTTCCGACATACCTTCGGAGCCGTCAGCTGCAGTGGCGCTCCGGGCAGGAAGGAGGGCGCCGGCGGCCGAGCCGACAGCGGCGACAGAGTCGCCATCGACGGCGCTGAGCCGGTCGGGAAGAACGGCGAGTTCACCGAGCCCAGCTTCGGCACAGACTTCAGCTGCGGACGGACGGGCGGCGGGCGGTCAGACGTCCAAAGATTACACTAAGGCCAAAACATGTCTCTGTGAATCGTGGCCAGCTGGCACGCCCACACTAGCATATACCTCCCCTAATGCTCCGACTCAGCCGCGGCAAACGACGTTTGAACTGCAAGGCTATTCGTGTCCGCCTTTCAGACTCGACCGATGAAATATTCATACCCATACCGAACTGACCCTCGGCGACCGATCGTAAACGGTCAGCGCATCCCGAAACGAGCACCTGCTAATGCATCCTGGCCACTATCGGTCCAATCCGAGTCGGCCGTTCTGCCGCATAATGGGCCCGTATACCGGAATCAGCCGGCGCGGAACGGGCAATAAACAATACTCGGCACACGTCAGCCGGCGCCGTCCGCGACTGACCAGCGCTGGTGGTGGTGCCGGGTGGTGCTGGTGGTGCTGGTGCGACTGCTGGTGCAGCTCGGCGCTGGTGGGCCGCAGGTACGGCGGCGGGCCCACCGAGATACTGTGGTCCTGGGAGGCCAGGAATCGGGTGTCCAGCTCGCGCCGCAGCAGGTCCGCCTTGTCTGTGGGTGGACGGGCGGTGACAGGTCAGATGGAGAAATTAACACACGGGAGAAGGAAGGCAGAATTTAAACACGGAGTGGCATATCCAGGGTGACAGCATTGGTAAAGCAGGGCCTTAGTGGTGACGAGGAATAAATAATACAAGGAAAGGCAAAAACATGAACACTAGATGCAAAATGAAAGAAATAAAATGGGCCCTTGCACTTTCGATCTCTATTTACAAAGCGCTGAGTATTGATACAAAGCGTCTAGACAGCAGTAAATCAAAGGCCAAACCAGTCTGATATCACGCACAAAGCAAACAGACCAGAATAGCACAGAAGGCCTACACTTAGTCGGCATACAGTTGAAGTCAGCAAACATGTGACGAGTTCAAAGAACAAGAAAAAGAAATCGAAACGGCGCAGGATTCCAAAAACTGCACAAAGTGCCAGAACTACAAGGAATGCATAAAATATACCGGCGAGAGCTGCAAACATATCTCCTCACAAAACAAATGAAATAAAACGCATCACCAGAGAAGCCCGTAGTTCCAGGCACGTCAGAACTCAATCACATGCAGAACTCAGATAATAGGCAGCCTGGCTGTGCGATTCCTGGAACAACTGAAATCAATCAGCGTTAACAGCACTATTGAGACTGCAGCTTTATTTCCAGAGCAGCAGCCCGCCCCAGACGGCTGCCGTGGATCTCTTTCATCCTGCCGAACCGAGCTAGGGCGGCAACTTCAGTCGACATCACCGCTGCTGCTATCAGCCCGCGCTCTGTCGGTACTATTTTTTACAAAGGATTATGATAGCAAATACCATCTGGTTGAGACGACGCGGCTGTGTCCTATCCCCGGCCTGTAGTGCCTCAGTTCTCAACTACGCAGCTCTTTCAAAGGGAGCAGCCCCCATAGCGCACAACAGTCATCAGTTCAGTCCAGCTGCAGTCCAGTCCGCAGTAAGGTGTCCGCAGTCAGTCCTTAGTTCACACCCCGTAGTGCTCAGTTCTGGAGCCCAGCCCGCAGTGCTTAGGCCGCAGTCCAGTTCTAAATTCACAATCTTCACTCCAGTCAGTCACCAAAGCTAGGCACCGCAAAATCGATTAGTTGTCGCGCTGGCGGAGGGTTTACGGTCGCTCCTCCGTCCCAACCAGCCTCCACTATCTCGGTAAACTAGTACGACACTCAGTCCCGTCGGCGCCTACACAGCAGAGCACAGTCAGTCGTACAGAGTCGTGCAGTAAAACCGCAACATCAACCCAGACTGCAGCGGGGGAGCCACAACGAGCGAGTTAACCCGGGCCTGAGTTGTGGGCGCTGTGTTCCACACAAATGGAGACAGTGACTATCATGGTCGGCCGTAGCAGCCGCTGTTTACTGCAAACTCGGGGCGCCCCTGTCTCCATTTGAGAAAGACGATGTTATACCCTGGAAACGGTTCGTTCTAGCCTTGACTGTCAGGGAAGGCGGTCTCACTTAGTGGAGATGCGAGACGGTCAATTTATCCCATTCGGATGTAGCACATGTGGCGCTGACACTAGCGACCGAAGGTGAGAGCTGCATCCCTTCCAACGGGATCTCTACGTGCGGTGCGTCTGCTTAACAGCTGTGCCTGTTCGTATCTCTGCAAGCTAGTATGCCGACTTATGTGTTATTGATGCAGCTTCGAGGTACCGTGTTCCGGTATCTCCACCCGTTCCATCACCATCACTTACTAGCTGCATCGTGACCGGGCAGCGGCGGCGGCGGCGGAGCGGGCGCAGCGGGCGGCAGACCCAGTCCTCCGGCCCCGGCCAGCAGCGGCGGCGGCGGCGGCGGAGCGAACACGCCCATCGACATGGGAGAGCGGACAGCGGCGACCGGCGGGGTGCGCTGGGGGGCCGGCCCGGCAGCGGCGCCGGCCGGGCCCGGCAGTCGGCTCAGGCCGGCCACACTGCGGACGAGAGGGGGAGAGTCAGGGTACCGCAGATACACGGACCATCGGCTGAACAACTCACTGTGATGATAGACGATGTGACACGTTGACCGCTAGTTAGAAATAACCGACTTCAGTTGATAAACGAGGCAGGGTATAGAGCAGACAGGCCATGCTGTACAACTAGGGCCTTGGTATAGCTCACTAATCGACATCTTCACCAGGCGAGGTATCCAGTCAACACACTAAGCACAGGATACAGCATGGAATGTCAATGCCTGCTACTGTATTGGTGTCTATCTGCCGATCAAATAGTCCTAAAAATGAGCAGAAATCCGCCAAAAGACTCACCTGTACGGGTGTTGTCGGTCGAGCGCCGGACTTTGACGCCGAGAGGAAGCCGACGCCGGGCTGCCGCTGCTCGTCTGAGAATAGGAGACGGAGGGATGGGTCAGAACAGCACGGGAATCTCGGGCCAACACGTAAAGTTAGACCAACACGAGCCGCCCGACTTACGAGGGGACTTCAGAACTAACAAGAGATGTCAGGCTAATGGAAGGTGCTAGTTTAGAAGGCCACATCAGCAATGGGATACTGGACCAGTACCGGAACTTCATACTAAAACTGAGCGAACAGACCAAAACGAGACGCAGAACCATTACGGTGACATCCGACCGCTCAAAGAGCAAGGAGTGCCAAACAAACAGGCCGAGAAACAGTCACACTGTGTAGTCTGCCGTACATTGCCACACTGACAGCCTGCAACACGCCACACATTCCGGTAGTCCGCCCTACACGGACCTTTGACACGGCACAGTTATGACACATCGCTGAGCCACCAGCGCCCACACAATCTGCCCGGCAGCAAATTAGGGACGAAATACACGACAGGTCCGGCTGTATAAACAAACACAGTGTGACGGACGGAGATAGGCCGACGTCTAGACGGGCCGCACCACGGCTGACGGGAGAGCGGCGACATCTCACTCAGAACTGGGGCCGGGGAGGCCGGTCAGCAGATAGGAATGCGGTGGAGAGGGGTTGTTTGGTGGCAAAGGGGCGAGGTCGAAGGCGACGACAGTCTCTCAGTCCCTTCCCACCACACACAGTATGAACACAAAAAGGATACAAGTACTGACAGTAGCCCGAATCTGGTGAGACCCCTTCCAACCAGCGGTAGGCCCAACTAGCTCAAATGTCGGCTATACTAACCGACTACCCACGTCAACATGTCATTAGTTGCACCATTCTGCATACCACGGGCCTCCTGGCACACTACACGCTGCTTACATAGCTGCAGGCACAGCAAGCCTTGCTACTCAACAGACACACAGACAGTCGGACAGACATTCACACGTGACCAGTCTGGTTCCTTAGACGCCTGCTGGCCTGGAGCCAGAGTCTATAAGTGATCTCGTGTTCACTGGTCTGGTATAAAGACCACAGTCGGTCCAGTCCAGTCCGGTATGGCAGGGTCCCCTGGTTCCCTCCATTTCAGCCCTATGTCGTGTCGGGTCCCCTGGTCCCTCCATTCCAGCCCTATGTCGTGAGGCTCGCCATCAGCCAGGTTCGTGGTAACGACCCGACGCACGGCGGGACACCGGCGACCGCCGAGTGGGCCAAAAGCACGGTAATGACACACCAGCGGTCGGCCGGGCACGGTCACAGCTCACTCGACACCAGACTACCAGACACCAGCCAGCCAGACACCAGCCAGGGTAAGCTAGCCCAGCCTATATGTACAGTGGATCTAGTAAGGATCTCCAGACGTAACTAGATGGCGTTGAGCCTCAGTTGAGTCCATGTGAGATTCAAGGAGAGGTCACTACCGAGCTGAGCCCGGTGGGGAGGAGGGCGGGGCGGGGGGGGGGGGGGGTGGCGAGGTCACGGTGCGGGTGACCTGTCAAACAGCCCCGGCGCGGTGGAGCACTGCCGCAGGCAAATGGCGCACTCCAGCGTTGTTCCATATCGCGGTGGTGGGCTGGGCGGCCGGTTAGCTTGGCAGTTGGCTGCTTGGAAGGAAAGGATAATGAGGCATGGGTTTGCTGTGGCCGGTTCATCTACGGTCAATTGTCAATTGTCAATTATGATGAGCCCAAAGTAATGCAAATGTGATGTTGGTAATGCAGCTGGCAATGGAATGCTAGCGAATGCTCCGGGCTCCCAGTAGCTATAAGGATTAAGATTATTTATTGTCTCCTGAAATTTTCATTGAATATAATTCAAGCAATGAAAAGATCGCATCGTTCGCCAGTTTTTTGACCGGCTGGCGTTTCATGCGTAGACAAATAATTATCACGCAGGTGATTTTTTTGTTTTGCTGGTTTGATGTCAAATCAGTTGTTAAGAGACGATGAGGTAAAATGGACGAATGCCACATTTTTGTGCATGAAGTCTCGAGTTAAAAAAGCTAGAAGTTATTATACCTACGTGTAAGCTAAAAACAATAAGATCAGTTAATAAAAATATTTGAACCGAAATTAGCCTCTGTTTTGTCTGACCATGACTGCGTGTAAAGACACCGGTCCAACCGGGCTCAACCCGGCCCAACCTGGTTCGGTTCTCCCTTTTTTAATATAAATTTGGCCGGAACCTTTTGAATGAAAGGAATCACAAGGACAAAGTCCCCGCTAAGCTTAAATTGTTGCCATGGCCCTGCTCTCTACTCTCCGATCAAGCAATGCCTGGTTTATGGCAGAATTTAGAGTCCAAATTTTAACGTGCGCACATAGCCGCGCACGGCCGGTCCCCTCACTGACTTCGCCTGGCAGCGGCCTGCCACCAACCACAACTATACCCGTCAGGAGGCTCAAAAACGTCAAGCACACGCCGCGTTTCGAACCCGGACTTTTGCAACCGGGACGTGCGCTCTCACCCAATGGCACATGGAGTCCAACGCTCTACCGACCGAGCTACCGGGACGGACATTTACCTTGGGGTTTCGCCTCGTGACATTGACAGACGTCAGACACTTTGGTCGAACTTCAGCCGAAACACTGAGCAAGCTGCGCAGGGCGATAGGTGCTCGTAACGTTGAGGTTGGGTAACCTGTGAGCTGAATGCGATGTCGTGAGTTCGAGCCCCACTCCCGGGTCTGGTTTTATCTAGACACGAACCAAAACCTTTCCTTCTACTGCAACACAGATAAGCACGATGACATCTGTCCCCAATATCTTTCCCCAATATCCTCTCCAAAAGTCAAAATTAAGTGTTGCCTATAAATGTTAAGCTAAGTTTCATTTTTTAACAAAATAATTTTGGTATTTTGTCTGCAGCCATTTCAACTCTTTTTTTCTTTTCTGATTCTTTTCGACCCGATAAAACCCACCAAAACTGAATGTGCCAAATGAAAAATATCTAACTCAAATAACAGTTTAGAAAAGGCTCATCATGCATCATGAAAAGCATCATGCAACTATCGACTGAATAGTTGCATGCTATGAATACGTCCTAGATTTCAATTATCATTGTTCAACATTTTGGCTGGAACTGACGCTGCCTCTGGCTTGCCCGTGTGTTTGAGATAATGATTCCCTTCAGTCGCATTCTTGCCGGTTCCACATTGAACAGGATACCACCATACCGGAGTGAACGCACCCGCAACCATTATCCCCTCCCCTCAGCCTCGGCGCAGTGGCGGGCGGCCCACTCCCGGCGCTACGCACGCCCCATGCGCCGTGATACCGCGTCACTCCCCTCCCCCTCCTTCCCCCACAATGACCGGTGACCTCACTTCCCTCGGGATTTGGACTCGCCCTACCCCGACCGTAGCGCCACGTGGTGGCTCTGGAGATCTTAAATAGACCCACTGTACCTGTAAGACACAGGCACGACGCTCGCCGATGCTCACCTTATGTCTCGGCGGTTTGGCGCGGCTGGCCGCCGGTGCCGTCGGCAGAGAGGCCGGTGCCGGCGAGCAGCCATTGTTGCGGCCAGGTGGCGGCGGACCGGCGGCCGCCACCGGCGCCGCTGCCGCCGACGGAGACACCAGGTCGCGCACGGCGAACCGCGCTCGGCCCGGCACCGGTGACTGCGCGGCGGCCGACGGGGCCGACGCGGCCGGCGGCGGCGGGGGTGGTGCGGCGGTGGGAGCTGCCGACGGCCGCGGTTCTGCCGCTGAGGGGACGGTGACGGTGACGGCGGAAGAGACACTGACAGCGGCAGTGGCGGCGGCGGCAGGCGGTGGCACAGTGTCGGACGCCGTCCGCGGCGGTGGCGGCGGCCGGCCGGTCGGGTCGCCGCCGGTCGCTCGGAGTGCCGCCGACGGTGCCGGGTACGTGGCCAGGCCCGGGTGGGGCAGGAATCCGCGACTGGGTGGCGCCGTACACCGGGGACCGATGGTGACCTGGTGGAGGGGCGGATAACCGTCAATACGTAGAACGGCCATCAACATTCAGCCAGCAACATCAACATATCGTATCAACATCACTATACTACATACTTCACCTTTCAGCATACACAATCATAAGTTTGTTGCTGTTTACGAGGCAAATCGACAACGTGCACAATCAAATTCAACAGCATACCATTACCCATCCCTCAGAATCCATCGGTTCAGCATTCCCCGTAATCATCCGCACAGATTGGCCATGCCACCCTCCTTCTCAGCCCATCCCACCAGCCGGAGCCCAGCAGTCGCCTGCCGGCGGTCGGCACTGCCCGTCCCGCAGAGCCGGGTCACTCCGCCGGCCTCCGGGCCGCCGGGCCACCGGGCCGCCATTATACCGTATGGGCCGACACAACTAACCGGCCGTAACAATTTTACGGCCCGAGAGTTAGTGCCGCCCAAATGTGCCCATAGCACTGCCCGGCCGCGTAAAAAGACTCGTCAAAACCTAATAGTAGCTCGTATAAAAGTAAAAATGCCTATAAAGGCAAACAGCTGCGTTTGTGTGGGGCGGGCTGCGGCGGCGGCCAACTATAACACGGTCCCGGGAGCCCATCGGGCCGGGTCGGTACAGACCTGGTGGGCCGGCAGGCTGCGCGAGGCCGCCGGCGCTGTCACACACGTGGTGCCGGCCGTGGTGTGTGGAGAGGTCACCAGGGCACCATTGGCGCTGGTGCTCGGTGGTGGTGGTGGACTCTCTCCTGAGGTAGGGGGAGGCGGGTCAGCGCGGGGAGGGGTTACGAGCCATGGTGAGAGGGGGGAGGGGGCATCGTGACACAGCCATAGCCGACCACCCGATAGCCGTTGCATCACACCTGCTACATATCAAGCACATCGAACTACAGAAACCTCGAGTGCTAAGCCAGTGACGAGATATGAGCTCAGCAATCACAGCTCAAATGTACAGTGAAGTAGCAACCAATTTCACATTGAGGTGACGTATCTCAAGGGTCGACAGGCCACTTAGCACCCATCGTCAAACACTCTGATAGTGTTTGCATCGTAGCTGATCGACACTTCCGTTTACCTAACAACAATCACGATACCCAAGGCAACCCACTCAGCATGACAAAGCAACGACACTCACGGGTTTTCTACTTGGTAACCTATGTCACTCACGGGTTGCCTATCCCGTTACCCTATGTCACTCACGGGTTGCCTATCTCGTTACCATATGTCAGTTGTCACTCACGGTTACCCAATACCTCTGCCCTGCCGGCTGCCACTCACGTTTTGCCAGCGACACGCTGTTCGGAGTTGGACACTCGCGTTTTCCCGCTGTCGAGAAGATAACCGATCCAGAGTCGGACACCTGCAACGAACAGACATTATTCGGTTAGATATAAGTACACATTTGACAAATACACGCAGAGGATCACGGGTCTGAGATCTGATCCAGCATCAAAGAGGCAAGGACACAGCTCACAGGTTCACTGAGCAGCCCAGGAGCACACAGTACCGTCCTGCATGTCCTTCACAGCCACATGTCCTATCACAACCCTAAACACTCCTCTATATTAATTTGACATATCGACACCTTTTTTTAAACCCCACATCTGCTCTCCCGTGAATTTCCGGGAGGCACGAAAGATCTCCTGTTAAAAGTGTCCAATCGTCCGATCCTGATCAAATATGTGTGTTCGTAGGCCTGTTCTGGTATTGCTTTATCTGCCAAGACAGACAAACTTGAGAAAAATCGAGTGATTGTACCTTTTTTGAAGGTCTCTAACCAACTTGTATGAAATTCACCGGAGAACAAATGTGGGGTTTAAAAAAAAGGTGTCGATATGCACAACACCACTGTCCTTACGTCAACATCCCCACCAGCCCTCCAACAAGACCAGCGCTCCACCTCACTATCATATCCGGGCTGGGACCGTACCCCGCGACCCGTCCCCTCGTCACGGCTCTGACCCGGCGTGGCGCCCTGCCGCCGACCGCAGCGGGCCCGCTGTGTATTTAACACCAGTAAAGGGCTCGGAAACGAGTCGACACTAAAACCGTAATTGGCGCTGTGGCCGCAGGGCGCCGCGGACGGTAATTGCCGCCGTGGGCCCGGCGGCGGCTCTTTGGCGCCGGCAGCTCGACCGGCAGACGCCGGCGGTGGAAGTTTGAGCGGCACAAACTGCTCGGTGATGGCCCGCTCGGGGCCGGCTGGGCGGCGGAGCGCGAGTGAGTGCCGGTGGAGGGTGTGCGGTACCGGCTCCACGGGGAGGAAGGGTCGCACACGGTGCTGTTCCGGGTCATCACGGCGCGATGGAGAGCCTCAGAGTTATCTGACAGAGGACAGTCTATGAACGTATCTGTGATCACAGCCACCGCATCTGACATTTCATTAGCAATTCCTTCCCCCATCTCTCAGCCGTCTCATCCCGTATGCATGCTGCATAACCCTCTAGATATGAAGCGATTTATCTCAAATCCAGGCGAATATATTTTCCAGAACTTAAAAAAAAAACTGTTCCCGATTTATTTACCGCAAGGGCCGTGCTTGTCATTTGTGTGCCCCAGTACCCATGTGATTTGCAATGGTTCCGCAACATACGCATCCACCACAGCCCACGCACCTGCGCCCCGGCCCCGCCCCCAGACATCCCGTGCCCCGCCCCCACCCAGCGCGGCCCGCCCGGTGCCAATTTTCCGGAGTGTGGTCGGCGGCGGCCGCGAGTGGCGGCTCATTTAGGACCGGCCGCCGGCCAATTACACAGACATCAGGCGTCCCGGCGCCGGGCACATTACCGCGCGGTAATTGTTTTCAACTCCTTTGGTGGCGGTGGCGGGCGTGTTTATGTGATGAGCTCGGCTGGTGTGGGGCTGGACGGGGACGGTGGACTGACCGATTTACTGCCCACAGACGTCACGCCGCAGCTCAGAGCGGCGGCCGTTTGGCAGAGCGGCAGCCGCGGGGCTGGTCGGAGTGCCGAGCGGGCCGGACGAGCGCGCGGCAGTCGTGGTTCTCACTTCTCAGGCCTCAGTGGTTCAGAGCTACAGTCGGAGATGGGACGGCGGTGGGTACTTGGCACACCAGTCAAGTGTGTTGCAAGATAGATGCGCCGACCAGCGAGGGAGGGATGCGGAGTGGCACGGCACAGCCGTCCGGTTCAATCGCTGAGATACATCCACTGGTCGGTGGGCCGAAAAGCACGCCGACTGGCTGGGCACAGCCGCTCAGGGAGTAAGGTCGCTTACTGCAGTTGCTGATCAATCAATGCCCGCTGTTACTTTCAGTCCAACGGCTGGAATTTCCAGCCAGCCTCTCCACGAAGGACATTCCATACTACACTCCTACACCGGGTACCAGCTGTCATAAATACCCCCACAACCGACTCCTGTGTCGTAGGGGGTTAAAGCTTCAAACGGTCCAGGGGGCCGTATCGAAGCGCCGTCCTTCGCCGATTCGCCACGACCTCACGGTCCTGACCATCCAGTCGCCGGCTAGGTACCGACTCCGACTCCGGCCGCCACAGTGCTGATGCAACGCCTGATCGCACAGCACGCCTTGCACGAAAGGCCACTTACGCCGGCTGCATGTAACAAGCCGGCTCACCACACGGTAATGCAACCGCAAAACAGATGTGCATCACAACTAGACATGTGCAGTGTCGTTAAAAGCCCCGTGTTGGAGTCACGCTATCGTAAAGCCGCATCGCGCCGCCGGCCGGCGCGCCTCACAGCCGAGGTGTCGGCGGCACTGCGGCTCCTGACACGGCGCGCCGCCGCGAGGAGACCCACAAAGCGCCGGACGCGGCGGCGGCGCGGCAGGGCGTCACTGTCTCTCCGTAAGCAGCTCTCCGGCTACCGAAAAACAGCAATCCTATTAGGGGGCCGAGTGTCGGCGGCCGGCGGCCACCGCGCTGCTGAATTCATAGCGGCCAATGGTGGCCATCTGACTTGCAAATGGCGCGCGGCAGCGGCGGGCCGATCGGTCCCCCGGGAGCGGGCCGGACCGGCGGGCTCAGCCGCGCGACGGTCGTCGGCGGGCCGTGGGCAGCCGCCGGCAGCGAGCAGCGGGGACTGACGGCGGCAGCTGCCCGCCGAGCGACGGACAGAGCAGGCACAGACGAGAGATACCAGGTGTCGCAGACCTGGCTGGGGCATGGACACTGGGCAGACACCTCTGCCCAGTGTCTATGCCTACTGCCTACTGTCGGCAGCACAGACCAACTCCTCCCCAGATGCAAGCACCATAGGCAGGTGGCACTGACTAGACACCAACCACTATCGGTAGCATACCAGACGGCATAGATGAAAACCTTCCACTATCCATATAATAGAGTCAAAACCTCTCCAGTTGAGAGGTTTTGATTTTTGATTGAGGCGAATCACTAACATATCCAACAAACCAACAGATATACAGCCCCGCCCCGCACCTCTCCTACTGCCTTCAGCTCCGCCTCCTTGCACGCCGTGCCCGGCGGCGCCGGGACGCTCTTTGTCAGCCGGCGGCGGCTCCGGCGCCGCACGACCACCGAACGACGGCGTTAGGCCGCCCGTAACGGCCCATCATAGCCGGCGCGCCGTAAAGCGCAGATGAGAAGCTCTCATGTGTGATTCACATGCAATCAGGGACGTCGTTAGGCGAGCCTCTGGCCACTCGCCGCGGACGGCGTCGGCCATAGAGAGGCGTCCGCGGCGCACGGGAGAGCCGAGGGGCCGGCGCAGAACGGCGCGGTACGGCACAATACCGCACGGCACGGCACAGTACGGCACGACGTAAGACGTAGTACCGCACGGTATGGGAAGTCGTGCGGCACGGCACAGTGCAGGCCGATCTGGCACAGAATGCCAGTGCCACACGGAACGGTATGGCGCAGAAGGAAGAAAACGTCCGATGGCAAGGAACTGTAACGACATGCCCGCCATGATACAGGTCGACCTAGTCATGACACCGACATGACACAGAAGCCAACGACACGAAACAGCTCCGCACTGCGGCGGCGCCATTCCGATTGATGCTCGGTTAACATGACCAGTTCATTTAGCCGACATCTCTGGCAGAGTAGCAGGCGCGCCTTTACGCCCCCATTACTCGCCGCGGATTTCCGACCACGATAAAATCAATGCCGTTTTATGGATCTATCCAGTTTATCGCCCACATCAAACCCTTTATTCCGTCATAAAAAGATAAGTTGTGGGGTGATATGTGAGTTTTGTGGTCGTCCGACCGCCGCCTGACGGTGCCGGGAGGGGGGACAGGGGCAGGGGGGGGGGGGTGCAGAGGAGCGGGGCCGACCGACTGGCCGACCGGGCGGGCGGGCTGCGGCGGCCGGCGGCGCGGCAGATGGAGCGCTCAATACGGCGCCGGCGCCCGCCGAGGACGTACAGCGGGACGTGGCCCGAATGGAGCACCGCCGCCCCCGCCGCCGTGCTGCATGCAAATCCTCGCCGTGACAGCGCACCGCCGCCAAGTAAGGGGCCGCCGCGACCGCAGTGCCTGCCGCCGGCCGGCACCGCTCGCTGACGTCACACGGGTCAGCGGGGTGCGGGCCGCGCACAGACGCACTGAGACGCACAGGGAGTCGGTCACAGGGAGACACTCACAGACAGTTAACCATTTAGAAGCCAGAGCACATACAGGCTGTGGGTGGAAGTCACAAACACATCTCAGCAGTCTCAGGAGCTCTCGGCGTTCCCGCTGTGGTGAAAGAAAGCCCGCCTCTGACTCCGGTTTACTCGGAGTGGTTCCGAGAGGCGTCAATGGACCTGTGTCGGTACCGGGTACCGGGCCGGTTCCAGTGCCGGCGCCGCGGGTACCGGAGCGGTTCCCAGAGGCGGTTCAGGGCGGGCCGCCGGACGCCGCTGATGGCCGGTGTGGAGCCGCCCGGCCGTCCATCGGCGCGGCGGCCCATGGCCCAAGGAGGCCCTTCCGCCGGCGTGGCTGCCTAATGCCGGCCATCAGTTAGTGGCTACGGCCCTCGTGCGGCCGGCTAACAGCGCGGCGACATGACAACGGCACATAAAACGGCCGTAACCGTCGCCGCCGCGCCGCCGCGGCACGGAACGGAGCCGTCACGGCAGGCCCAAGGTGGCGGCCCGGGCCGGCACCAGTGGCAGGCAGCTGCAGTCTGACGGAATGTCGGCAAAGACCAGCGGTAGAGTCCACTGGCAGACACCAGTGACGGACACCAGCAACACAGGACAGCGACTGAGTCCAGTAACTGAGCCCAGCGGCAGAGACCTACGACTGATGAGATGTTTGTCATCCGTGCTGTCATCCGCCGCCCTAAAAACAAACACCACTTCCAAACTGTCATCACAATGGATAATACCCAGATCACTGAGTGTCAGTAGCCGCAACCACAGAGTTTGTCGCTCTGAAGTTAATCGGCAAAGCGGGGATTACAACACTGCAGGGAACAGCATAGCGGGCATCGCCGAGGCTTCTGGTCACCAACCTCCCGTGTCACGAACGTCAGGTGAAACTCTTCACCTACAGCCTATACAGCAGCTTATCACCCAAACCATACAACAGAACATTGCAGTATAAACTCCAGCCAAAAAGCCCACCTGTACGTTTAACCTTCCAGGCGGTGGGGGGGGGGAATTTTTTGCCCCCCCCCCTTTAGTTTTTTCGATATATCTCGAGAACCGCTGCGCCGATCGTCACCAAACTTTCAGTACCCTCCCGGGAGTAGCTAGCGCACATGGTGACCAAAAATTTTTCCAAAGGCTATGATAGGTTGGCCGCTAATGACGTCAGAGTGACGTCATTTTTGCCATTTTCGACCCAAAAAAAAGGTTTCGCGGGAAGAGCTGTCAGGCCTACAGCTTTAGAGATACAGAAAAATGTTCCAAACATAAAAGGTGTGGAATCAAGAGGGCTACAAAACTGCTATTTCGGTTTTTCGAATTTTTGGGATTTTGACCCCCAAAAATCAAAAAATAGATTTTTTGAAAATAATAGCCGAAAAATCCAAAAAGTTTTTTTGAATTTCGAAAAAAACGGAATATATGTGATAGTCCCTACCGCCTTCTATCTACATACCAAATTTAAGATCAATACCTCTTTTTTTGGCCAAGTTATAGCGAAAAAAACTGTTCAAAATTGATGACGTCAAATTTTCAAACTCAATTTTTAGCAATTCTAGACCTCGTAGCGCAAAACAAAGACCACCATTAGACTCCCCGTGACGAGCTGCATCGAATCGATACCCATTTTAGGCAAAAATATCAACTTTGAAATTTGACCTTTTTTACCTGACCTTGACTTGACCTCCACCAGAAAGTGACCTAAACCGTACCTGATGGTCTTATAACCAAAACCATTGAGTTGGAAATGAAAAACTGGCCATAAAACATGCATCGCACAACCTTTGTAAAGTTGGGTTCATGTGGTGACCCTTGGTGACCTTTGGTGACCTGACCTGTGACCTGACCTGGTATGACCAGTGACCTCTAATAGCAACATATGTACTAGACAACTGACGCCTTATCGCTGATTTTCGACAAAATGCGTTTTACTCGGTGTTATAGCGCTTTCCCTAGAAGCCCCGTGAACGGTGAAACATTTTATCTTTGACCTGACCTGTGACGTCATCGGTGACCCCGAGGTAAATGAAATTTTGTTTCCCTCAACAAATTTGACAGGGCTATCGAACGCCGTTTGAATTTTCCGGATCCGCCCAGTAGTTTCGGAAATACGAGGGGGGGCAAAAAAGCCCCCCCCCCCCCCACCGCGCGGAAGGTGGCTGGGAGGCCCACCGCCTGCCGGGTTAACTTCATGAATATTTAGGCACTGAAGCCTCCGCAGTCTCCGTCTGGTCTCACCTTGGTCAGCTCCAGAGACCCCGTGGTGGCGACTGCCGCGGCGTCGGACCGGTCACAGACCAGCGCCGTAGCGCTCACCACTCCGCCGTCCGCGGCCACCAGTCGGCTTCTCACACAGTCGGAGAAACGGCTGCTGGTCGCCGGACACTATTACCAATAGAGAAACGGCTTCTGGGCGCCGGCTACTCTCATTGACAGACTGAGAAGGCTTCTGATTTCCAGCACCGCAGAGCGACTGAGACGAATTATTCCAGTCGCAAGTCGGCAGACGATCTCACACACAGAGTGACTGAGACGGGCTTTTGGTCGAATTCCTCTCAAACACAGAGAGACTGGGGTTGCTTCTGGTCTCCAGCGCAGCGACACTGAGCTGGATCTCTTTTCCACAGCCGAAGCACGGCCAGCGCTGTCAGGCTGACGACGGAGGGCCGACGCTCCCGCTGATACCGACACGGAACAGCAACGACACACGGAATCCCCAGCGACACGGCTCGGCACCGCTCCGCACGTCCAGAAACACGGCGCACTCGGCCCGAACTGACGTCGGCTCGTAAAGGGAACCCAAACGACGTGACGGCAGCGCCGCCAGGCGGCAACTCCGCCAACTATCCGGCCACCGCCGACTGCTCCGAGCCAAACACCGTCCGAACTTTGGAATTGCCATCGGCCAAGTTTGTGAGTTTCAAACGAAAATGAACCCAGAACAAACGCTAATTAGGTTGTTTCATCGTTTACAAAAACAGGCGGTAAAGTGGCGTGTTTAGGGGCGCGCCCGCCGACTACAAACCGACCGCTCGCCGGGCCGCGCCGGGACGGTCGGAACGAGAGGACGGGGACCGGGCGGGCCGCCTGGGCCGCCGACGGAGCCCGCTGTAACAGCCTGTGAGGGCGCCGCCGTGGCCGCGATCACCCGCGGCCGGCCGTAAAAACTTTATGTGACTGCAGACCGCACGCTGGACAAAATCCGCTCACAATCACAAAAACGGACAAATGGGAGGCCAACAAAGCGCCACCGAGCGACGACTTCAAGGGCGCCTATGAACAGATGCCCCGAGATGGAGAGCTTTTTATAACAGGACAGTATCCGAGGCTAGGGCCATTTTGCTAGTGTCACTGGTGACTATCAAACTGACCAGCACACATATAAAATAAACCCGCCTTCTCCAGCACACCCCGCGGGAAACATACAACACACCTTGTGTTTTGCACACTTTGACGTACCTTTCCGTCGTCGCTGGCACTGTGGTCGCACTGAAACAGGCGGGGACGACGGTCATTATGGAACAGAGCTGAGAGCAGCCATCGGTATGGAGGGAGGTTAGGGCGGACGACAGTATAGGATCCAGAGGTGGGGGCAGTCGTTGATTTGGAGTTAAGAGGCGAGGCAGACGACAGAGTGGGACCAATCTGCAACCGGATCTTATGCCGACACTGGAAGCGTGAGGAAGCGAGAAACAGTGTGATGAAATGCTAGTGTCAAGATACGGAAGACAAGGGCCTCTACGGTCATTAAATGAGAAACGCTACTGAGGTTTCATAAATTCTTATCATCGTCACAAAGCAACTACAGATCAATATTTACAGCACAGTTCGCTTGTAGTTAGTTAGCCCATAAAAGGATGCAAATCAGTGGTAGAGACGCGTCAACTGTTGATCGCAGAGATCCCTACCTTGAAACCAAATGAAACAAAAGGATAAAGGGGACACGACTGTTCGATGGACGGGAGACACGGACTTTACCTTCGGTAGATAGCAGGAGCGGCCTCACTGGGATTGGAGCGGCCTCATTGGGATCGGAGCGGCCTCTCCGGCGGGAGGAGAGGAGCCACGTCGGATCGGCCTGGAGGAGTTCAGCGGGAGAGGAGTCGAGAGTCGGGAGGAAAGTGATAGTGGTACCGACACGGATCACATTGAGTACCGACACCCACATTGAGAACAATGTGCGTCTTCACAATGCACAGCAATATCAAAATCGCAAACGGCTTCACAGCAATTTCAGCGGTTTCAACCACAAAAACTTCAAAAAGTCTGCTTACATGGACATTAGACATGTCCCCACTCTCATGTATGCAGTCATCACCTCATGCATGGCCTTTGGCCAATTCAGAGACTAGCGCGAGTATCCAACTTATTCGGCCGAACAAAGCTGAATAAGCTGGATACCTGTGACGGGTGACGTGAGCTCTATGATCCGTATATACTGTCTGCGGACCAGTAGCGGCACAGTCGGCCGGTGGGGACTTACGAAGTAGCCATCGCCGGAGCTGTGCCCTCCGCCCTGAAAACAGACGAGAACGGCATGAGTTAGCATCGGGGGTGACATGCTGCTAAAGAGAACTGTGGCACTATAAAAAAAATAGTGCAGCACAAAATATCACGCAAGTTAACGTAACTGACGGCTGAAACTTATAGTCACAATCACGCTGGACCTAACACAGAACACACAGGCAGACGGAAAAGCACCCTCTAACAAAGCAAAAGCATAACAATGCGGAGTTCCAACAATGACATACCTATTAAGCACTCGAACAACCAGAAAAATATATCACACATACAGACCTTGACACTGCTGAGACAGTGTATCAGAGCCCATCTGACTCACTTCTACCCACGGTCAGAGCGGCACACCTGTGGGGTCCCGGCCGACCCTGCCGCGGCCCTCCACAGAAGGCAGGTGTCCAAACCAGCGATCGGAGTGATCGACAGACAGCGGACAGCCACCCTGGGGCGGATCAGGTGCCGAGGATAGAGAACAGACGGTCAATCGTAGTCATGCCCATACTTCATATGCGTTTATGATGTCCCTATTGTCCCATTAGCGCCAATTTGCATGTCCGCAAACTGTCTACAAACTTCTAACTTACGATGGTAAATTAATACATGACCCTTGTCCCTAATGCATATAGGTATCCTTTTCAGATTGTTCTATCAACAATACCTACTCGGTTCATGTTTTATGAATGCATGGCTTGTTGTTCTATTCAAATGATTCTGCTTACTGGACATGCATCAATGAAGTTATTCAAGACGGTCCACTACTAAGTACGCAGATTAAAATCAACTTTTGAAGCGTGGATCTTATGATTCATGCTGTAACTTTGGATAACACGGCCGAATGCACTCTACATAAAAGATAAGCGTGCTCCTGCAAATTAAAAAGTAATTTACCCCATCCTAGCTTATCATCATCAACTTCATGCGGAGTCCAATAAATCTCAAACATTGAACAAGGTACTGGCAAGCAGGGTTGTGCTTGACTCATGAGTCGAGTCAGAGATTTGACTCAACTCTGACTCAGATGAGTCAGGTTTGAGTCGAGTCGGATAAAATGTTGAGCTGTTGAGTTGAGTCACAGTTGAGTCAGACAAAAATATTAAGGTGTTGAGTTGAGTCACAGTTGAGTCAGTAAAATAACTTTTGACATTGAGTTGAGTCAAAAACATTTAGGAACATGAGTCAGCTGACTCATCTTATATATCTATAAGCTTTTCATTCTCCCCCGCTTAACAACTTAGGCCTGGCCCTGCTGCCAGATTTTTTCACCCTCCCCCGCTCAACAACTTTTTTATCTGAGTCAATTTTGAGACAACACACTTGACTCAACAAAAAAATGAGTCAAGTTTGAGTCAACTCATATTTTCATTGAGCCGCTTGAGTCATGAGTCGAGTCAAGGGAAAAAATCAGCTCCTTGTTTGAGTCAGAGTTAAGTCAGGGCTTTCTGAAGTTGAATGATGAGTCGAGTCGGCAATTTTTTTTAGTCGAGCACAACCCTGCTGGCAAGCACAGGAAACACGCCTACACATTATTATATAACTCACAGTAAGTGCCAAATGAACAAGTCAAACAAGACACATGTCACATTCAGCCTGTCAAAACAATCCAGGCACACGAACAGACTGAGAGCCGCTCGATTCCATATCTGTTCCCACCTGCAGCCTGTGTCACCGAGGCGTGGTGATGCTCGAATTATCTTTGATTAGCTTAAATCAGATATCTTCTGCTGGCCATGATAATGAGTGTCGAAATTTCATAGCGAATCAACAGCAGCGATAACACAGCCTATCCGAGAATGTGTCCCAGCGGCAGCCGTTACTGCTGAGAGGAGTAGGTACCGGCGGGGGACCAGCACCAGCACCGGGCCCCGCCTGGACGGACGGGGGTGGGAGGGAGGGGGCGGGGCGGCACGGACCGAAATACACACCACTTGGCAGGGTGGCTGGTGCACTGAGCGCCACCAGCTGCACCGACACTGGCAGTGCACCGCACGACCTCCGCACAGCCGGCATAGGGCCGACATAGACCTTCCATACGGCCTCCACATGGCCTCCTCACGGCCTCCATAGGGACTCCATAGGGCCTCCAGAAGACCTGCAGCCTCCACTTAGCCATTGAGGGCCGATGTGTGCGCTGCAGTTGCACCCGTGGACTGTAACGCTCGTGTGATTCGACCCCATCCCTTCCTAACGTGAGCCATGGCCACAATTCGCCGCTGTCCATAACCATTAACCACATAACCCAATCCCACAGCCAACCAAGATTTCCACTGTCCACACTCCACTCAATATGCCTCCCACTGCCACAGAGCCCATCGTTCCCTCTAGCAAGCTTTTATCGTCCACCATGGCCTCAGACCACCAGTTCACCGCGGCCACAAGCCCTCCGTTACCCCTGGCCAGTCGCCGGGCCGGCCGGTCGCCTGACGCACCGTCGTGTAGTCGTATTAATTGTACCCGGTAAGTGGTGGCGTGTGACATGACAACATGACAGCTTATCCTCGGACCGACGGCCGGCGCGGCTTATCGGCGCCGACGGCGGCGGCAGCGTCAGACCTCCGCGACCGACCAACGACAAAGACCGACCGACCGACGGCGGATCGCCACTCGCCAGTCGGGGCTAGAGGTAGATCAGGGCGCCTCCTCCCTCTTCCCCGGCCCGTGACTGAGCCGAGCCGGCAGGGATTATCATGCCCTGACCTAAAGCAACGGCACACGCCGGTCCGACAACATGACACGCCTCGTCGACAAAAGTGCCGACGACACGACAAGGCTTGTCGCACAAGCCGATAACGCCGACAGCGCTCCGGCGGATTTCACCGCGTGTAGAACGCCTTTTCATGCCGGCATTTGACAGCGATTACCCGTGTCAGCGACGTTTCTTTTCACGAAGCCGGTGTCGCGTGTGGCTTTGACAGTCTGGTCTGCCTGGGAATTGGTTAGCAGTTTCGGTTGTAAAAGTTCGGAGCCGAGCATTTCGGCGCACCAGATTCGAGGGTTTTCCCATGACAGGCGCGGACAGACGTCAACACAAGACAACCTGGACACCTGGACACTGGACAGTAACAGCTGAGACTGGAAACAAACACTGCAACACCTGGGCAGTAACACAGCAGGGACTGGAAACAAACATTGGAACAACTTAACAGTTACATAACATAGGCAGCGAATGGAAGCGAGTGTTGGAACAGTCAGTATACTTATTGCTCAGCACAAACAAAAGAAAACAGAACAGAAACGCAGCAATAACCAAATATAACTACTTCAACACCTGAACGAACTAGGCTGCAGCATTTCAATACCCTGGTGCTACCAAACAAAAGATGATTACAGTGCCACGGACCACACGTCGGTCTCCAATACAGGCACGGCTCTGGCCACAATAAAACGTTCAACACGCGAGGGATGATATGTGGCGTTTCCCGTTGTTTACACGGGACAGAGCAGCGGTTGAGTCCCGCCAGGAAACGAAGGGAAACACCAGTGTTCTGGCAGGAAAACAAGCGTTTACATTCCCCGGGGAATTCGTGTTGGGAACCAGGCCCGCTGTGACCGCCCCGCTCGAGTCAGGACATCGGCATGCATCAAACGCTGAACCGAGGTTCCTACAGCCCAGGGCTTCACTCGTTAGACCTCACACTGACACCCGGGCCGGGGGCGGGTCCCGTAGCATGAGACAGTACCTGGGTGCGTCCGTCACTGCTCTTCCGGCGGCGTCGGACGGTGGCCGGTGTCGATCCGGGCGGCGGCAGCGGCTCCAGCGTCTTCAGACCCCGCCGTTCCGCCTGCTTCACCGCCCGCTGTCGGAACACGGGGCGGGGGTCAGCGAGAGTCAGCGGAGAGTCAGCGGAGAGAGTCAGAGGAGAGCCATAGGGTAGATGAGAGTCAACGGCCGCTGTAGAAACATGGAACGGAGAGAGTCAGTGGAGTCAGTAATGTCAGTGGAAAGAGTCAGATGAGAGTCATAGAAAAACATTATAATGACGGGCGGAGCAGGTAACTGGGTTGGAGAACACGCGGGCAGACTGAATGAAAGTAGACATTTCACGATCACTTCACGCACGGAATTAAGCGATAACAGAACACGAGAACTGCCGTGGGCTTCGAGTCATCGTAATCACAGCGCACCACACCGTGGCCCCACTCCCCAGTCCCCACCCACACTGACATCAGGTGATATCTTTCCGGAGTGTTCGACCCGGCCCTGATCGTAGCTCCGGCTCAACATCCGCAATTTGCATACCAACAAACCAACCACGACCTTCTCCCAGCAGCTTGTCCGGTTTGAAACACACCCATTGCGGCGGCGCTGAGAGCCCGCCGGCGGCAATTTGCACCTCTAATCGCACCACTGTCGTGCCGGTCTGCACTTCTATTCTGCCGGTTTGCAGCTCTGTCGTGCCGGCGTCGGCGTCGGCTCCGCCCCGTGACGGCGGCGCACATAACTCCCTCGCTCCCTGCGGGCGTGCAGCAGCCGCGCACTTGGCATGCATTGCGGCCGTCGGAGCACGACACCGGTGGCGGGCTCAGAGGGCCACGGCGGCTCCCAACCAGCACGGCAGCACGGGCGACTGACTACCACGACGGAGAGCGACACGACACGACACGACACGACACCGGTGTCATGACACCGCGCCGGGCGTCGGGTCGTCATTCGGCCCACGCGGCGGCGGCGTCCGTTCGGCGTGGCAGTTATGTCCGGCACGGCATTCCAACCACGCCGCGTCTCATACCGCCGTGCCCACTCGCCTCGCCCGGTCACATACCTCGCGCCGGCGCACGGGAGACGCCCACCCACTAATCACAACCCAGCCCTCCGCTGAGCGGTTATCGGCACCGGACAAACGGCGATCGCTGAATCGGCCCTTCAATGATGTCATCAGTGGTAGAAATCCTATCGGCTAATCCCGCATTTACGAGCTTCAGCCAGCCGCTGTGTCCGCACTCGAGGCGCGGATCTCAGAATCAACTACTTGAGATAAAGGAGCGGCTGGGCCGACTAATATCCACTTGACACTGAGCTGAGGAGCACCTCTCCAGCGAATGGATTGATAATCACGAGTCACGACTCTACTGGGATTCCCGGATGGGGGTCCTGATTCCGGGTCGGTTTCGGGTCAGCGTCTCCGAGTTTCAGGTGGGTTCCAAAGCAGTCAGATGGTTTGCGAGCGGTTCCATGTCAATATGTCACGGTTTCGACTCTATCCCAGGTCAATCCCTCCAAGTTCCGGGTAGGTGAGTCGCCACCATCACCATATTTCCGGTCGGTTTCAGATGGATAACTCCGACTCCAGGAAGAGAGCGGGTTGATGACTCGCCGTTCCAACACCGGCCAGCCGCCGTTCCAGCCCCCGCCGTAGGTCCACCGGTCCGTCGGCCGTCCGTCGGCCGTCGACCCGCGGGAGGCCAGCAGTCTGCCGACGGAGGCCAGCAGCCTGCCGTTCCGATCCCCGTCGGCCGTCGGTCCGTCGGAGGCCAGCAGTCTGCCGTCGACCAGCAGTCTGCCGTCGACCAGCAGTCTGCCGTCGACCCGCGGTCTGCCGTCGACCCGCAGTCGCCGCCGTCGGCGCGGTGTTCGGGTCGGTGACCCGGTCGGCGGTGTCGCTCGCCCTCCAAGGCCGCCGCCTCACGCCATTCATCCCACCGGAGCGGACCGGTGCACACTGGTCGGAAACGCTCCAGCGAGAGGCCAGCGGCCTTTCTGCAAAAGTTTTTTGCTTGTTATTCCACAACTAGTGAAGCAAACTTCATGAAACTTTGCATACCTTCTCTGTCATATGTAAGCTATCATTTGGATGTTAAGCACTAAATATATGACCTGAATCTGTTAAGTTATGACGTCATAATTGAGTATAATACAGGATCTAGCACCACTTTAAGTCAACAAGGGAAATTGGGAGCTGCTATTCGGGCACCGGGAATGGTTTCATGCACTCATTGCAAGGTCCAGTGCTTGACTTTAGCATTGTTGACTTTGCGTGACGTCATTTATGACGTCACTAAGGCCATGTAAGTTTTTCGTCAATAACTCCTGATCAGATGGAGCTAGGGAGTCGGGAAAGCCACCATTGGACTCAGGAAGACCTGCCGAATCGAATGATATGCGATATGACCCCCTTCAACCATTTTCGTGACCTGAGGGGCTCCGACCTGACCTTGACCCGAGGTTAACACCTTAACCCTCGCCGGCACAGGGGGGTTGATGCAACCCCCCTAAGGTTTTTCGCGAATAACTCGCGTAAAAAGCGGCCGATCGCGACGAAACTTTCAGTACCCTCGCATTGATCAATTCTACACCTACCCTGAAAATTTCATGACCCTGACCCCAATGACCTTTGACCTGTGACCTCTTTTCCGTGACCATGTTTGGCCGAAATCGCGATTCAGCGTATGTCGGCTCGCATTAGCCGCGCGTTTGCAAGCTTTTTGTGGTTTCAAACGTTCAAACATGTGATTTGATGTTGCTCTCATACATTAGGATGGGTGTCAAGGTCACCTGAAGGTCAGGTCAGGTCATTGACCTTTGGTGACCTCGGGTGACCTCGATTCACTTTTTCGAGTTTTACATGTTTCTAGGCTAGTTTTTGGAGCTGAATTCTAATTTAGCAACCATTTGAACATTTACGAAGTAGTTTTGGCGCTTTCGTAACATGTTACGAAGCTGTCTGCAGAGGCGGTTGCCACGTATTACGAATACCCGTCACAACCCCTACCGGTTGACCTGACCTGACCTGACCCGACCTGGTCTAAATGCTTAAAGACATCATCTCTGATCAAAACTAATACGATAATCGTGATCAGCACCCCGGAAAACCACATAGCAGCCACAATTTACGACTTTCTAACAGGTCCCGATTTCCCCGGTTTTCGGGTCATTGACCTGACCTGGAAGGTCACCCGATGACCTAGGACCTTAAAATTGGGTATCATCGGCTTCCTCTCGTGACGGGCAACACGCTCGTTTTTTCCGCGAGGCTCTAGCTCGATCAGGGGACAAACGCGAGGGGGGTCGTACCAACCCCCCCTTGTGCCGTCGAAGGACGCAAAATGGCCTGTGCCGGCGACTGGCGAGGGTTAAGTTGACTTCACCCGAACACCAAGTATAGCATTATTTAAATTTAGTATTAAATTATCTGGTTTGTATCAATATAGTGCCAGTATAGCATTCAACGCGCCTGAGTTAGACAAACACGATTATGCCAAAATCGCGGCAGTGCGACCATTTTTAGCAAGTAATTAACCTAAAACCGAGCCCGTGCCTTGTGGCACTTACCTGACCTAAGAGGTCACTGGCTGACCTAAGACCTTAAAATCGGGTAAAACCTAATTTTGCGTCTTATAAGTTATAACGGCACACAAGCTTGTTTTTTTCCGCGAGGCTCTAGCTCAATTAGAGGCGAAACGGCGAGGGAGTTGTACCAACCCTCCCCGGTCAATGTAGAAAACCAATCGGTCCGGCCAGGGTTAAATACCGGAATTGTGATCTAATGTAAAAAGACGGCCCAAGGTAACCCAACGTCAGTGACAGGTGTCCTATATTTGCAGCGTCTTATATTCACGAAGGTTTCAATTTCCACTTTCTTCAGCCGAGTGATGGTTGTCAATAGCAAGGCTCTCTAAATGCAAGCCGTAATCGCCACGCAATATGTGGAAGGCTTTTGATGTCAATACATACATAAATGCATACATAAAACACGCTTTTCACAAAATTCATAAACTCAAGCGCATCTGTTTTTAATGACCAGTCAACTACGCATGGATGCGTGCAGGCCACACACGTCAGCGTAGGCCGGGCGCGGCGGCCGAGCCGAAACTGGGGCCGGGGCGGGCGGTAGTTGGGTAGGAAGAGCGGCTCCTGCAAATTTTGCGCAAATATGCGCAGTTAGCTTTTATGTTGCCCTGGTGTAAATTTAAATCCTACTTCATCTCACAAAAAATCAGAGTGGAACTAGATGGGACTACCTGTTGTTTCCTTACCTAAACTTTGCAGTTACATTCCAGAATCACTGTAGGAGAGCCTTCATAAAAAGCTATAGTACATCTTAGTTAGGGAAAAAGTATACCAAAAATTTTACACTGACCAGTCGGCAGCTTCATAACGAACATTTTGATGCATAATATGTGGGATTTCAATTTGGTGTCTATCAGCAATAAGACTCTGAATATCCGGCTCAAGAAACCTCTTGCTCCGCGTCAGTTTCCGAGTTCTGGGATACCCCATCTTCGGGGGCTGATTACAGCTATTTTTGGTCACCCGGATTAGTTTTTTTGGCCTAAGTATAATAATTTGATCAATTTCAAATCGATTTATATAAAAAATAATCCGAAACTCCGGAATCGCCCTTGGCCTCTCGTGAGGGCGTTTCCGACCAGTGTGCGGTGCACCGAAGGCCGCCCACACCGGACGTGGCGAGAGGCGGACCTGGCCCGTCCACCCCGCACCGGGACATCAGTCACCGACATCGACATTCGGCAGGGACGCCTGAGCTGAATTTTAGTGACTCCAGTTCGAGCAAAACAACTTTATAACGAGACAAAATTCGAAGAACCCAGTCGTAAACACATCTCAGGCATTTGAAACCAACACGCTTGCCATGATTGACACAATTTTCGTCAAACGATTGCCTTCAGCCATCCTGTAGTCATCTCCGTGAGGGAGGAGGTCACTCAGCCCCATGCCGTCCCAAGCTGGCCAAAGCCGACCGACGGCCCGGGCAGCCGGCACAGACTGCACACAAGTTGGCGTGGGTGGGCAGAATTAGTCCGCGGCCACAGGAATTAGGCGGTTCGCCGGAACACGCCACCGCCGGGGATAATGTCTGCATCGTCATCGTCGACACCTGCTAATGGCGATTTAATGTGTGTGCCGGACGGCGAGACGGCGGCGAGTTGTGACGCCGGAACGACGAGACGGCACGCGATGGGACGGACTGGTGGACCCGAGACATGTACTAGTGGGATGGACTGACAGACCCCAGGCACGTGTCAATGGGACGGACTGGCGGACCCGAGACAGGTACTGGTGGACCCGAGACATGTGTCGATGGGACGGACTGGACTGACTCGAGGCACAATCGGTGGGACGGACTGGCGGACCCGAGACGCGATCCGGTGGAACAGACTCGCGAACTCGAGACCCGTAGGTACCGGTGCCCGGTGCGACGGACTGGACTGATGGATCAAACAAATATACCAGCGGGACAGAGTGAAGGACAGGTCATACGTACCGGCGGGACGGAATACGAGCTGACGGAACCGTCGCACAACAGTGAGTGGGACGGACTGACGGACGGACCTGTCACACACATAACAAGGGGATGGACTGGCGAGCCCTCGTCACTCGTAGCATTGGGATGGAGACACTGAAATAACCTGAAACCCTCTTGGAAGCACAAGCAACGATCAAAGAGTCGCCAATGAACAGAGAGATCAGAAAATTCCAGATACCTCAATTTGGCATAACATCACCTCACACCAAAGGGTCAATGACTCACTCACTTTTGACAAATCTTATTGAGCGCATCATCGAGAAAAGCCAACCATCCTTTCAATGCAAGAATGGTGTTACTGAGCCCAAAATAAGCAAACCTTCCCAGCAAGGCTGGACTGACAAATGAGACAGTCAGACTAGACAGGGATGTCACAAGGAGATGAGAGACAGCAGTCAAGAAACTAGTGAGGCATGGAAAACAGAGGCTTTATTGAATCATACCTTATAAACCCAAATGACATCCCAAGACACTGGGGCTGGTTTCCCAGCATGTAGTATGCTGTTGGGCATGACCAAAAACCATGTTATGTACCTACCTGCTACTAAATGGCAATTCTGAGGGGTAACAACAGCCCAGGGAAAGCAATTACATGTGAGTGTGTAGCCTGTAGGGTGTACCTACATTGTACAAGTGGATATAAATGGAAGTTGAGGAGGCTCAAACTTCAGGCTAAGAAAGGTAATTGAGAGTTTGGTGAAACATGTAACCGTTGACCATGAAGTACTGATCAGTAGCTTAACATTAAATCTTTCTATTGCAATGTCAATGGCTACCTGTCCAAATATTGAAAACCACACTAGCCATATCTCACATAGCCAGGAAGGAAAAACAAGGTACCTTGATGGTCACAAAATGCATATCATTATCTTTTATTTCCTCAAAAACTTGGAAAGGCTTAAAGCTGATAACAGCATCTAAAGGCTGAAAAGTTACTGAAAGAGATGGTAGCCAAAAGTTCAATTGAGAACATAGGTATAGGTATCACTTGAGTTGTAACACACCATTACAATAAAAAAGCAGGTAGATCCCTCAAGGCAAGTATAAAACTCATAGTTCCTGCATTAGGAAGCAAACACATGGTGGGTATTCTGAGTTTCAACTTAGATCAAATGGGGGGGGGGGGCACCAGGGCACTGTGCCCCCTTTGATTTTGGCATTTTAACACTAGCCCTGTGGGCGTTGCATGGAAATAATCAGAACGGGACAAAAAGTCGACAGTGAGTAGTGACCCCCTTAATTGAAGGTGTTCTGCCACCACTGGATCAAATTAGGTTAATAAGAAAGCTGTGCAGCCAATGATGACGAGGATTCCTCAGTCACAGATCAGCAGCAGTAGGTAATGGTAAGGAAGCAGCATCATGAAGCAGCAAATAGAAGCATCAGCATGGGAATGATGTTGATGTGCAATTCAGATTGAGAGGAGCAATGATATAAAATGATTTGACTCACCTCCAAATCACTGTAAGTTTTGAAAGATGCTATTGCGAATCCATCAATGATATCTTCTTCATACAGAGGTTCGCGAAGCTTTCTTCGCCGATGAATAGGTCTCTGAGGTTTTTCCAGCACTCCCACCTCATCGTCCCCAGTTTCGTTTCCGTTCTCACATTTTTTCTCACCTACAGCCTTCATGCGCTGTGCTCGGGCACGACGCCGATTCCTTTGCCTCACATCTTTTTCCATCACTCTGGCTCATCAGTTGTAGCGTTAACTTATAGGTACGCTAAAACGAGGAATGATTAATACAGTTCCAGCACATTACCGGTGCACCTCAACACCACCGAGAGCTATCATAATTAAAAACAACACCCACATGAATCCCTACCTCTCACACACAGGGCCTTGTCACACACGCACCAGAGGCGATCTTCTTGTTTTGTTTCAATGGCGGATTCGAGCGTGGTTGTATTGTGGGAAATTCTCCGTCATCCAATATGGTTTTTAAATTAAAAATAATTGACCATCAGAGTATTTCACTTATTTACTGAAGCAACCACTGAATTACACCATTTAAACGCCCTTGTACACCTCATAACACCCATTTTAGAGGTAATGCCTGAGGTGCAACCTCCCATTTTTAGTAACTGACGACGCCTATGAATCTAATCAAGCTCGGTTTCATTTTATGATTAGTTCGTATGTAACCATGATATATAGACAAGTTTCTCTTCTTAAAATTTCTTTTTACAGATTTCTGACTATTGTTACCAAAATATGAAAAGCGAAAGAAATAACAAAATAAAATTTGCCTAGAAATAAGATAAAGGAAAGAGATTCGATGAGAAATGGTAAGCAGTTAGGCAATTTAAACCGTTTACAAGATATAAAAACTAAATATTTTAATCGAAATCAGAAAAATGAACTTCATTTGTCTTTTTTAAATTCTTATCTTTTAAAGTCTCAGACTATACTTTTAGGTAATGAACATTATATTTAATTTACTAGCTGCTTTTTATGCTTTGCTCGAAGCAGCTGCGCCGAAGATGTCTAGTTTTTTGTTTACAGGTTTTTTTGCCTTGGGTGGGGTGATATCTTGGGTGATATATATATATTTATCCAATTTATCGAAGTCCGGTTGAGTGCCAGTGAAATTTATTTGCAGAAGAGAAATAGCAAGGTAGGTAACCCAAAGCAGGTAAACATTTTTATAATTCAATGTACAACGAAGTACTCCTAAGTAATTGCTGCTAAGAAAATGTAAGACTGAGACACCAGGCTGTTTGCATAGGTATTGTTCTTTTAAATCTGCATATTTTCCATAGAATCAGTCGGGGGAAACTACGAGGCGAATGTCAAAAAATGGATTGGTCAATAAATGGACTTTTGATGACCATATATGGGCATAAATGCAGACCCGCTACTAAGGGTGGAAAACGGTATAACAAGCCGGTACTTGCAGTATCGCGTCCACTTATTGGAGAGAAAAGGCTTCCATTTTTCACTGGGAATTAGTGTGATTTGATTAAATTTGGCGAATTGACTCGAAAATGGCGATAGGAAAACGGCTTTTCTGCAGGTTCTGGGCGTCACAATCAGCTGGCCATTCAATAAATGGATTGGTTTTATGAAAGAAAATTGTTAAAAGATTTTATTTAATTACAATAAACAAAAATATTTAATTCTAAAATAATAACTTAACTACAATTAGAAAAACCATAAACAAAATAATAAAGATAATGACATTTTTAAACCACGGTGTTGCTTACATTTTTTGGCGCGTCTGTTTCAATCCGCCATATTTGCCAATCACGGTTTGACCTTGCGTTGTAACTCTGGGGTTTAGAGCCGCCAGTTAATTATGCACCGGGTGAGTGTAGGCCTTGTGTGGTTAAAAAACATTCTAATGCCTTATTTTTTCATTTGAATGCTAAAATTCATTGAAAAGATGAAGTTGTCTGATTTTATGACCATATATGGTCATCGCCCTGCCCACTCCAGCCGCTGATTGGCTAATCCAATTTTTGTTTGGCTCCTCGTAGTTTCCCCAACTGGAATAGACCAGTCCAGGTCCCCAGGGCCCATTTTGTTTACCCTTCCCAGCCCCCATGTCTAGGTACTTTCTCTCCTGCAGACAGATTATCCCCTAGCAGTCTTGTTAGGACTAGGAGAGAATCTGTCCCACCCTACCAGTACAAAATGAACTAAGCTTCAACTACAGGCAGTCCTTAGACATTTACTACAGAGAACATTCAATTGCATTATTGTAAGTGTGGAGCAGCAGGTTGACAAATGATTCATTTAATTGTTCCAGATTACACCATTTTATAACAGTAAAGAAAGTACCCATCAAAGATGAATATGGATCCTGAGGAAGACGAAGATGAGTTGGAGTACTATGTAACGTTTCCAGCAGCAGTTTCACCAGAGTTCAATGAAGATACTTATGGAGAAAGTGAAAGGGAGCCAGTTGTTTTCCTTTTTGGCTGGGCAGGCTGTGAGGATAGACACCTGTCCAAATATGCAGAGATGTATAAGGATCTGGGGTAAGTTTTGCTAAATAAGCACAAAGGTCACTAGCCAGTGGATGCTCCTCAGGTATGAGGCAGTGAAGGCTGTCATAAATATTGGTCATGTTCCCTGTTATTGCAATTGATATTGTCCTGAAAGTCCAAGCTCTCAATATGATTTATGAAGCCCACTTACTATCAGGCTGAGGTAGACCTCATTTTACTCATCTTATCTAGTCTCTTTCACTGCTGCACTGATGCATCTGATCCTACTTGAACATTTGTTTTTATGTGCCTTTACACTCAATTTATGTCACCAAATAGAGTGTGACTGTTGCCACTATCCCCTACACCACTTTGGTATCATAATCGTCTGGTCTCTCTAAGATTACTGTGTCACTTATCACTGTCGATATATCACCATGTCTTCTTGCACATCTATCTCCATCTTTCTCTTCAATATTTAATCTTCTCCAGCAGCTGTGACCCTCACTTACCTCACCTTTCAGATGCGTCACCATCCGGTACATCAGTCCGACCAACTACATCTTCTTCACGCCGCGCGAGCTACTGGACGTGTCGGACCAGCTGATCGACCTCATCACCGACCTCACGCTCGAGGTGCACCCGGTGCTCTTCCACTGCTTTAGTAACGGCGGCGCGCTCGTCTACCGGTGCCTGACGCGCCGGCTGCGCGAGCGGCGCCTCTCGCTGGACGTGCGAGGTGCAGTGTTCGACAGCGGCCCGATCCGCCGCCGCGTCACCAGCGGATGGAGAGCCATCCACCAGTGCACCAAAGGTGAGAGGTCGGCTTGTACGCTGTCTGTACGCGGTATGTACGGTCTGTACAGGCTTAGAGGACGTTTATCGAATGGTTTAGCAGATTTTCTTCCGGGCTTGAACATTCGTGTGTCATTAGGCAGTTTTTTGGGTTTTGAACAGCCGTGTCACTACGACGTACCGTGTCACGCCTTCAGGAGCGGCCTGGTACTGGTGGTTCCTGGCCTGTCTGTTAGTGGTTTTGTGTATTGACTGCTGGCCTGACCTGTCGTGCTGTGTTGTTACCTTCAGGAGCGGCCTGGTACCGGTGGTTCCTGGCCTGCCTGTTCGTGGTGCTGGTGCTGTGTCGCTACCTCTGGTGGTGCACGCTCGGCTCCGCGGACACGGACACACACCCCTGGAGTCTGCTCGAGTGTCCGGACCGCTGGCCGCAGCTGTTCATCTACTCGGACAAGGATGACATCACACCGGCGCAGGTCAGTATGAGGGATAGCATCGGCGGGCACTTAGCACGGAGGGGGGGGGGGCATGATCCAGGCTGAGAGGGGTGTCTCCGGGATGCGGTGGATGACCTTCGACTATGTTTTTTCTTCGGTCGTTAGATGCTTCCGTCTTCTCCTTTAACCCTCGCCCTGGCAGGGGGGGGGTCGATGCGACCCCCCCCCCTAAGGTTTTTCGAAGCTAGCGTAAAAACGGCGGCGCGCAGCGCCGCCAAATTTGGCACAGCCTATGGGGCAACCTTTTTACATATGACCTCTAAGTTTCAGGTCCGGGTGACCTTGGGTCAGGTCACCAGGTCAGAAAAACCGGTACAAGGTCATGGTCAAATTTCAATTTTCTTTTTGCACCTGTCCAACTCACAGTTTTGGACTGATTTTCTTCAAACTTTCAGGATGTGCTAAGTTCACCAAGTTGTATAACATATAGTTCGGGTTTTTTGAGGTCACTGACCTGAGGTCAGTTAGAGGTCATTACGTCGTAATGTTAAGCCTATGGGAAAATACTAAATTCGGAAAATACTGGAGATATCCGCTTCGTTCTATCACTTTTGTGCTTTGAAACCACAGTACTTAACAGCAGGTCACTTGGTGCTTCTTTGTTTGGTGTTCTTATCCATGGGTCAGGTCAAATGAGGTCAACTGAGGTCAAATGACGTTTTTGTCAATAACTTGGCACATAATGACGCTAGAGCTTAAAAAATGGTATCATTGTGTTCCTAGTGATCAGCCGAATCGAATGATATACGATATGATGCAATTTGGTTAACATGAACTTAATTTATAAATTTAAGTTTACTTAAAATTTAAGAAAAACTTTAAGCACACTTAAGCAAGCTAAAAAGTATATCATTCGACGCGCCTTGACGTGCTGAGTTTACTGGTGCTTTTCGTTTTGCTCTATCTTAATTAGATCAAAAGTTATAAGCGAAAAACTTTTGACCTGTTTTTAGCGAAATTTTTACATTTATACCCCCCAAAACCCCCCTAAATATTGACCTAGAGCAACCAAATTTGCACAGGGGAGAGAACTCCATGAGGCCCACCTACCTACCAAATTTGGTGTTTCTAGGTGCCATAGGAGCCAATCGCGAGGGGGGGGGTCGCATCGACCCCCCCCCCCCCCCTGCCAGGCCGTGTTATGAAAAATGCCCTGCCAGGGCGAGGGTTAATCAAATAATGCCCTTGTCCATTTCCTTCCTGCGTCTGATGTCTTTCAGGGTGCATTTCCGATGTTTCTCTGGCCTTACCGTCTTTCGCCTGTCTGCAGGACGTGGACCAGTTTATGGCCGGTAGGCGGGCGCGCGGTGTCGAGGTCTCCAGTCGCCGGTTCGCCGACTCGCCCCACGTCCAGCACTACCGCTACCACCGCGAGGAGTACTGCGCGGCCGTCTCGGCCTTCCTGGGCAGGGTGTGCGGCCCCGGCTCGGCCGGCTCCCGGCCCCGCTCCGGCTCCGGGTCCGGCTCCGGATCGCCGCGCCGCCGCCGGCCCGGCTCCGGGGACGAGCGCAGCTGGTCGCCGAGCAAGGCGCCGCTGCTGGCCTCTGGCAGCCAGTGAGAGTCACACCGGAGAGCCTGGCCTCTGGCAGTCAGTGAGAGTCACACCTGAAAGCCGGGCCTTATCCAGTCAGTAAGTCAGGCCAAAGAGCGGAGATGTTTTAACGGGCGTCATCGGCGCACTGAGATTACCGGTAGGTCTGCGAAATGAGCTACCTATAGTCAGCCTGACTCACTAGTCAAACCGTGGAGGTTCGCTGCACAAACTAGTCTGAATCACCACTAGTCAGTAGATCGTTTGTTCAATATGTTAGCTTCTGGGATCATGGATGAGCTACTCGCCAAAGTCTGTGTGAATCTCTGATCAGTTGGAGTCCGATCCCAGCCTATGCAGGGTGGCCCGTCCTCAGCCACCCAGTGATGTGTCAGCGAGTGTCAATGTTTGAGCTTTCCCGGCAGTGCGACTGTCTCTTACTCCGTCCGAGTAGCGCTGTGAACCGGACTCTCTCCTAGAGGCATTGAATCTCTTAGAAAACAGAGGCGGGGCCCGCGTCTTAGTGATGGGTCTTGCAGTGCTGTGCTGACTGCCGGTGAGTGAATTCTGTCTCAAATTGACAGAGCTGTATTATTTGTTCGTCACTGCTTGACGACTCTGCTGATCTCACGTTTGATGATTAGTACTCAAGTTAGCGGTATTACTGCCCCAGCCGGAAGGCTGTAGTGGCGAATTTTACGCCACACCATTGTGTTAATCTGTCGGTCATAATTCATATCCAGCTGCCGTAATTCATCACACTCAGTTTGCCATGTTGGCACTAATCGGTGTAATTATCCGTCAGTTTGCGGTGTTATCCGTTGGTATGTATGTTGAGTGCCTGTTTTGCCGCCACTCAGTTGTATGCTCATGATCTTTGTCTGACGCATGTGTGTGGTTAATACACAGTTTTCGAGTGTGCGATAGATTTGTAAACGGACAGGATCACGGCAGTCGCTTGACTTTTGACGGCCAGGCAACATCAAAACGCCCAACTCTTCACGAAGACATCGAACTTGGTCATAAGCAGTCGAAAATCCTCTCAGATACGCTTTATTTTCCACATGCACTGACATAACACTATCACTGCTGAACGTATACAGATAAGCCTCCTGCATAAAATACAATGCCACGTTGTCGACCGGTGCGCATAAGTAGACAGTAACTGCAGGACCGTTTCTGGAAGATCCTGACGAACGCAGCCGCGCGGAGTCGGCCCCTCTACGCCGAGTCGCGTCACAGCTATCAACAAAACTACAGCTAACGTACATCAATACCAAGCGTCAGAGCGGCGCGGCGGCTCGCTCACGATTTGCGTGCGGTCAAGAATAGACTATCAAAGGCAAGTATATATCAAAGTGTCAGCGCTGCCACGTACCGGTGCAGCAAAATATGCGAAAACGCACGCAGAAAAATACAATTCGTAACAGCATAGTTAGCTTCATGCGGCGGCGGCGGGCGAGAGAGCGACGCGCTACGGAATAACGCGAGCGGCGGCAGTGAATGACGTCATAACGTGCCGTGACGTCATATCGTATTATCCGGAGCAGTGTGACATCGTATATTGTAGTCAGCCGCGGCTCGTATTATATCGTCTCGGGACAGACGAGATCCGAAGCGTTTCATCACTTACAGCAGAACCCAGGATCTGGACATGACTTCGTTGGTTTCCGCTCTTGTTGCTTAGACTGAGCTCTCCCGCCCAGTGTCTCCCCGCCGAGTCCCGTGTGCCGCGTCCGCCCCCGCTGCCGCTCGCCTCTCACACACATACACTCGATCACACGCCCACCAAGCTCGCCGCCCTGCAGGTTTCGTTGCTGTCGCCCCGTGCGCCCGTCCCCTGAGACCAGTCAGCGGCCGGCGGGCGGTCCTAGAGCGGCGGTGAGTCCACCTCCTCCCATCCCTCCAGCTCGCCAGCCAGCTGGTAGTGCTGTTTGCGCAGAGCGGACACGTGCACCCGGGCCCGCTGCAGCTGGGCCTCCAGCTCCAGGACCCGCACCTGCGCCTCCATCTCCTGACGTTTGGCCTGGTGTAGCGACAGGTTACTGAAGTCCAGCGCCGCTGTGGGGAGAGAAAAGTGGTAAAAGGTCAGGTCACGGGCAGTACAGATCTTGGAGTCCACTGGATTGTAAGAAGGTATAAACATTATGTTAGATCACCAACGCTAAATACTGCTGCAGTGATTGATCCTTATAGGGTGTCATTCTCCTGTAACGAAGGCGGCCGGCAACTAGGGGCTCGACCTGCATCACTTTATAATTACCAGCAACACAAAGAGGGGAGCCGGGTCATCATTTGATTATCAGCATGTCTTCAAACGACTGTATGCGAGGAGTCAACCCAACCGCGATGATCATCACACAGTCCCATGAGGCCCGGCCCGATGCAGCAGCATTTGCTCGTACCTTTGTCCTCGACCAGCTCCATGCAGGATTTGGCGGTGGCCACCACAGAACCGGTGGCCTCAGAGACTCCGCGCGACGCCTGGCCCAGGTTGGCCAGGTTCTGGCTGTGCCGGTCGGCTGCGGGACGGGACACGGGGTCAGACCGTGGGTAGGGTCACATTGGCGGTTAGAGTTACACACAGTCACACACCGGGGCACAAGAAGACGCATTTTGAATGAATCCGATGAAAACGAATAACTAAGATGCGAGGCTGGGTCCTTGAGTTACTCACCTTTGACATCAGGCACTGTCACTATCACTAAAGAGTAAGTTTCTCACCATTTAAAAGCTGGGCGCTGGTGTTGCTCACCTTTGACCTTTGATGCGATGACGAGCTGGGCGCTGGAAGCGGCGATCTCGTGTGTCACCACGATCAGCTCCTCGAACTTGCCGTTACCACTCACCAGCCGGTCAGCGGCGTCCCTATGGGCGGTGCGGGGTGGTTGGTGGATAGCTGCTGGTACAGGGGCGGGATGCAAGCGGGGCAAGGGCACGGGTACTGCGAGGCTGGCTGACTGCTGGGTGGCGGGCACAGGCTCAACACACTAGCCGGTGGGGTTCATATAACACGCAAATTGCTCTTTGGTGCGCTGTATTTTATGACTATTCTATAACACCTAAATTCGACTATCTAAATTCGAACTCGAAAATCGAGTTAGGCGCATCCCGTCAAACTCGTCCCCAATATCCACGTTCAATGTGGAGAGGCCCTCAAACTGATCTAAACGACAAACGATGTCCAGCATACGCTGTTCACCCGTGCCTGGTACTCCCCAGAGATACGTACAGCAGCGACTTGGCGCCCAGTCCGACTGCCTTGGCGGCCGAGATGAGTCCCTCGGTCCAGCGATGGTTTCGCTTGTAGAACTCGGTCGGTGACGCCGTGCCCTGATAGACGGCAGAGACGGGAATGGTCAGCGGGGAGATATAGACAGAGACGGGACAGGAGCGAGGACATGGCGAGAACGCCAAACTGTACTCACTGAGAAAGGTCAATTATGACACCGTGCGGCACAGAGAGACGCACAAAGGCCTGGCTTGACGGTGGCACGGGCAGAGAACAGCACGGTAAGCCTGGCCGGTTCTGCGGAAGGGGTCAGCGTTTGATAGAAGCGACAGCCGACAACTGACGTTCTTCGCCAACTGCGCAAGGTGTACCACCAATGGTGCGTCCTCTTCTGCTCGCTTCAAGCGATACTCCTAAACCCTAATGTCCCTTCCTTGCCAACAGCCATCAAAGGCACTCCCCAAGCCATTAGACTCTGCAACTGGTGATGCTCTAGTGCGGTCTCCAGCCTCTGACTCTGCACCCAGCGACGCTCCCCGTACTCCCCTTGTCCTTTCCGTGACTCCCCGATCCCTTACCTTGCCCTGGGCGATGATCTCCGCCTGGAGGTCCCGACTGCGCTGTACCAGTAGTTTGACTGCGCGCATCAGACCCGTGCACGAGTCGAGGATCTTCTCGCTGACCTCCAGCTTCAGACCCGAGTCGGCCGACCGGGACGCCGTCAGAATCTCCTGTGGAGGTGCAGGTAGGGGATTATCAGAGAGTTGCAAACAGGCTGCTGTTCCAGATCCGTGAAGAACGCGGCGCACGTCGGATGACGTAGCAGCAGCAATCAAGTTAGCAACATGAACTAGGATGGATCTGAAAGTTGTTGACCCCAACTTCGTCTCACCATAGCACGTCCCCTTCCAACGTTCTGTCGCACCCGGCCTCACTCCCCTTTCTTCCACTTCCTTGAACTCAGAGCCCGGCCACCTTGCTTTTCTTTCTCCTATCAATTTGTGCCCTTTACCCCTTCCTTTCCTCCCTGCCCCCCCCCCCCCCGACTTTCAAAGGACATAGCGTCCTCTCTCTCCCGTACCTGTATCCGCGCGGCGGCGGCCTCGATGGCGCTGTCCATGGCCGACATTTCCTGTTCCACCATGGAGGCGATCTGTTCGGCACTAACCGCCTGCAGCGAGTCCGTCACTCGCCGGGTGAGCTCGGCCAGCCGGGCCAGCTCGGAGCGCACGGCGCCCGCCTGCGGGCCGCGGTCGGCCGCCGACCGGCAGGCGGAGAGCAGCTGCAGGGTGGCGGTAGCTACGCCGCCGCACGCCGACCACATCTCTGGGGAGGGCGAGGGGGTTTAGCCGTCGACGAGTCAACATGACTAAGTAGGGACATCAGCGGTAACAGATTGAAGAGCAGCAGTCAGAGCCGCGTTGTTCTATATCCCCCTGGCCAACTAGATAGTTGTTGAAACATGGCTTCCACAACGGTCCGCACCTAAATGAGATAAGGAAGAATGCTGAATGAATTAATCGGACTTCATCTGCAATGCAAAGTTCTTCAGAGTTCAGAAAACGTTTGACTGCTAGTTCTATTTTCCCCACTGTACAGCAGACCGTACCTTCTCCCAGCCGTATGTTGGGACTGGTCGGTCCTTACCTTCTCCCAGCTGTAAGTTGGGACTATTTCGTACCTTCTCCCAGCTGTATGTTGGGACTATTTCGTACCTTCTCCCAGCTGAATGTTGGGACTATTTCGTACCTTCTCCCAGCTGAATGTTGGGACTGGTACTGGACGTGGCCCGGCCGTGCAGCAGGAACTGAGCCGTCAGGTGGGCAAACATCAGCATCTTTCCGCGCTGCTCCGGGGTCAGTGTCTCGGGGGAGGCGGCCAGCGGGGGCAGGCACGCCTCCAGCGCCGGTACCAGACTCAGCAGGTACTCTGCGGGAGAGGCAGTGAGGGTTAGTCAGAGTCAGTGAGGATCAGCGAGGGTCCGCGCGAGGCTGGATTCAGGCGAGTGAGAGTCTGTTCGGGTACGCCAGGAGCTGATTGTCAAATTTACTTCAAACATGAGAAAACATACCGACAGAATAAAGGTTGAGCTGGTTTTCTAAGAAAGACTACGTCAAGATCATCGAGCGGCAAACTGATATGCTCTGGACCAATAATCCCAGATGTTCCATCATTACATGCGGGCTAAATTCCAGATATCTATGCAAAACACCAGCACGCTCTCGCCGGCGCTCCCAGAGCCCGACCCCATTTCTCACCTGGCGTGCAGGTGACGGCGGAGAACATGGGGTTGTCGCACTCGTCCAGGGCTCCCTGGACCATCTGCTCGGCCGTGGAGACGGCGTCACCTGGCGGAGGTCACGGGAAAGGTCAGACGGGGTCACCACACGGTCAGGTGAGGTAACCATTAGGTCTCCAACTCTCTATACAATCAGAGTAGTCAACTGACAGCCCAAGGTCGTTGCATTATCGAAAACTCGTCAATGAGTGGACATATAGCATAACCGATTTTTTGTTTAGCAATTTGACTACGAATACGCCAACCCAGGAAAAAACTGTAGAATACATGCCGTTGCTATTTTAATTGGTAACTAGGCGGGTTACCGCCCCCCCCCCCCGTCCCACTAATTCACCCATCCCACCAATACCCCACCCCTTTACCGAGTTCCGCGGCCGCCCGCTGATCGCTGAG